CTGTGAAGAAACTCTAAAAAATGGTTTACATTAAAAACATAATGGATATGAGAAATAAATATTCTAACTGTTAGCAAAAGATTCATTCTAAGCTTGATTTCCTTAACTCATCTACCAAGTGTTGTAATTGTATACATCAAAATTTAGGGAAATAGATTTCTTCTTGATTTAACGTTTGCATGATAGAGAGATAAAACATTGGCATAAGAAATAAAGAGAAATCTTTTGAGTTCAATAAGTAAATCCTTTTTAAAAAGATATTCACAATTCACATTGATATTTCTAGATCTAGTACAATGAAATTCATATTGACTAGCATGAAGATCACATTACTAGTGTTGAAATAAAGGTAATATGAATTACTCATATACTATATGAAATTATCATAATATAAGCATCTTTTAATAAAACTTTTTGATTCCTTGTTTCTAAAATTTCATCATTCGTAGATATTTGAGAAAGGCAATATGTATGCATCTCAATTCATCCGTATTCGGAAGCTTTAACCTCAAGATTAAGGATTTGATAGAATGTTTCTCTTAGAGCAGAATTCATATTTCCATACACGCAAAACTATGTCCTAACTCATACTTTATGATTTCTTCGAGTCAAACATCCGCTTATATAGAGGCTCTGCCTTTTCATTACTAATAAAATTGTGAACAAACTTCCTCAAGGAAATCTGTTATACGCTCTGTATCTGAAGGTTCATCCCCTATATGCTCCATAATAGTAAATTCTGGGGAATAGAGTAGAGATGGCATAAAAGATGGAAAAGGCCACCGCAGAGCAGGAAGCGCAGGAGAATTACTGCATTTATGTGCAGTAAATGTTGAAGCCGGGAGGAGTCAATATCAATATTTGTAAACAAATGGAGAAGAAATATACATACATACATATATATATACGGAGTGGATAGTATCTACGTAATATAACCGTCTATGATGTGATACTGATATTCGAATTATGGACATTCGAAATTGAAGTCCATTGCGCCTATACATTGATATTTAGAAAGCCCATAATACTCATGAGAGTGTCCAGCGCGGCCTTGGAACTGCAAACTTCTGAAGGAGGTCGACGGTCTTGGTTCCACGCGGAGCCAATTTGCATCCGACCGCAAATCTCTTTATGTTGTAGTTCGTTCATGGATTCCGTCCAAAGATTTCCGCAGTTCGAGGAACTGCGGAACTACGAAGTGAGCTGCAGACAAGACTCAGTACCGAGTAGAACTGTGCGTAACCGCATGGTGCTTGATTGCGGGGAATGCAGCAAGAAACGCATGCAAGTACACGCTAAGAGAGAAAATCCAACCCAATATCGGAACGCAATATTGTTCAACGAGAAGGAGGAATGAACGCGGTGGTGGAGGGAAGGCTCGAAGGCTTGAAGCGATCGTCGCTCTTTTCCTTCTTGGAATCAAAACAGTGTAGAGTTCTCACAAGCCACAACCATATATCCCTACAAGTATCACTTTCTTCTGGAAGAATTATCTGCCATGAAATAACCAAACGAACAAGAAAAAAATATCACCTAAAATATCTCCAAGAAACTTGCATGTTGGAAATGGGCGGAGGCTGTACATGTGAGAAGCGGAATCAGGAGGAGAAGATAAATCACACAAAGACTGTTGAAGAAGGAAATTTAGAGCGAGTAATTTGTTTCGTCTTACAACTTTTTGCTTCCCCTGTGTCGCCTTGCAAAAATCAAGGAATAAATCTATTCATTTCACGTGGTTAGCTGAGTAGCTCACTTGTGAGAACTCTCGCAACAGCGGAGTACAAACTGAGAACTGAAATTGCACTGCGCAGTTAACTTACGAATGGTCCGTCCGTCCATCCATCCATCCATCAGCGAGGCGAGGTTTGAATGTAATCACCGGACGTACAGTGGTCCAAGTCACGTGCGAGTACGAATTCGACCGTTTGGGACCTCCGTGGTCCCAAACCCGAGATCGAACCCAAGATCGAATCTGGAACAACAGTTGGAAACTCAATTATATGCTGTATAGGGCTTGAGAATCGAGTGGATTAAACCGAAGCTCGAGGAGGAAATCGACTGATGAGGAGAAAATCAAACCTTTGCTAATTTCACCCTTTTTTTCGGGTTTTTAATGAAAACAGGGAATTTAAATTAAACTTATTGTGATCAGTGGACGCAATAGATACCAAAGTGGAAAATATACAACGATGAATAAACATTTTCCCCTGCGTGCTATTACTGCACTGTCAGATAATAGACAATACATTCCCGAGAATATGCAGGATAGACTAATAAAAGCTCCTATTACATTACATTCCCCGCAGGATTGAAGAGGAGTGGCTCAACTATGAAATCGACCCTCTTCCGAATCTGATCAAAACAATCAATGAGTTCGAAAATCTCAAAATTATTATTAAATTATTATTTGGAAAAACAAGTACACCTCGACTTACACTTGACTGCGGTACTTTAGTTTTCTGACAGTCTATTTGAAGTTCGATGCAGTCAAAGGTTCTTAACCTGACCCAAACCCACAAACAGGTGGCGGTTAATTTGACCTCCGGTCATTCCTCGGCTATAAATATCGTTGCCAAGCGAACCTTTTCCATGAGGCCGTAAATGCAAGTCTAACTCTGCGCTGGCATCCGTTTATATGTTTGAATTTAAAATCGAGCGTATTTTGAAATTTCGTATGATGACAGAGCCGTTAGGAACGCCCTTCTTCTGCGGCCAGGTCCGCGAAGGTCGTCCTGCTCAAGCCCGCCCGCGATTCTCCGTACCGCTAATCTCGGTCCGGTCAGGAGGCTCTGGTCAAGTCAGGTCAGGTCAGGTCGGGTCGGGTCAGGTTTCTCTAGCCCAGCGATTTAATAGAAGAGAAGACTCCGGGACTGGCCTGTCGGCTGCTGCGAGAATAGACCAGAACACGGTCAGGATGCGACCAGGGTTAGTTTACCACGGTATGATGAGCTGATTGCCAACCTCATGGTCTTAATTGAACAATATTGAAGCTAAATTTTAGCTTCAATATAGCGCCAATTCCTTTTAGCTGCTAAAAGGAATTGCAGTCGCTGGGAAAATAAGAGAGATCCCTTCGAAAGGGTTTTGGTATCGGCAGAGTTAAATCGCAGCCTTTACGACGGTTGCAAGGTCGCGATCATTATCGGGCTGTGCTGGAAATCTTATTCCCGAATCAGGTTTTGATTTTGCCACACTCGAGGGTTGGGGAAAGTTTTTTAACCCACGTGGAAAATTGATAAGGATGATCATCAGTTTGGCCGTGATTTTTTATGAAGGCTTCTTAACCTTGGCCTGAACCCTGAGCCACGGTTCGAACTGAATGATACTGGAGGTAATGGCAGTGTGCGCCGGAGGTGGCAAATTCGCGCAATGTCAGGTCGCTGTGGACGGACGATTGCGACCGACCGACGTCTTCGTAAGAAATAGCGAGACCCAGACAGAGAGAGAGAGAGAGAGAATGAGAGAATTCGCAGATCGATGCTCTCGCGGTCGCCCACTCTCGCGCACTGTTTCTGTCTGCATCGAATCCTGTCTGTACTATGGCCAGAGCCAGCGCCAGCTATGGCAGCGCGAGCCTTCTATTCATAGTCAGTAATCTGGCGATAAAGGCGTGCGTCAGTGTTCTGTCAGCAGAGCGCAATCCGCGCAGCGCTTGCACAATTTTGTTCGCGAGCCGTCTGCCAGAGCGATCGCACATTCGCGCAGTCCCTTTCGCCATCGCCATCCCTCTCCAGACATCGAACCACATCGTTCACTCAGATGCTGCCGCATTGCGCACTGCCCTGCACTAGGTTGGATGCGGTGGGTGGACCACGTCCATGTACAGAAGAGTGCATCTCTTGCGCCAACCACGTGGTAGTCGACATAACGCCTTTCATGCACCAGGTTACAATGATTTACTCTGATTGATTGTCGGGGTAAGCGACGACCGTGGTTCCCAGTCCGCAAGCCTGCCGTGTCTCGCGGCTCTCGTCGAGGAGTCCTCTGACCTTTGCGTGGACGGGGCGCCTCCGCCTGCGGATGCCAGGGGACCTGTCTCCACGGTCACTTCCGTCGCCGCATCTCGGGGCCTCTGACGGCGGCACGCCGGAAGTCAGGGTCCGTCGGTCGGTCGGGCGATCGTCGCGGTGTGTGGGTTGCGACTGTCACCTCGACGACAGAATAGCTTTGCGTGAGGAGGTTACTGATCCGGACGCAAAGCGCCGTCCAAAAGATGACTTACGGATGCGTTCGGTCGAATTGGTGCGGTCGACGGGTGAAGATGAAGGAGGTGCATTTTATCTTTCCTTCGTTGATCTCTGTCTGAGCCACAGGATTGATTGGTCGGTGCCACATCTTATTTAATTTCATTTGCTTGAAATCCGAGTTTTCGATTTCGCCCTTCATACGCTTCACATAGATTCTCTACATGTTCTCCTCTTCGGTTTTCTCCACATGTGAGAAAGGTTAGATTGTCCTGTGACTCCTCACGCGCTTCGACTCTTCACAGAAGTTGCTTCACTTTTGGCAGTACAGAGGCTCAATGGATCTCACCCATATACCTGAAGAGAAGCCCACGACGTTAGAGCAGCGCAGCCTTCAGAGAGCACGCTCAAGACACCAAGTTAATGGAGACTTACTGCAAAGCCTTTCACGAACTCAGTCTCTCCTGATTTTGCCCAGAGAGGAAAACCCCGAGACCTCGACCAAGGATAGCCCTGGTCGAGATGATAATTTGCTCTAACGCCGGAGTGGAGATAGTCAGCACGACGGCAGTAGACGGACTTGCGAGATATGTAGGTGGTGGGAAACGGCAATGAAGAAGATAACAGGTGAACTACACCTCGTAAGAGAGCTGCCCGTTAACAGAATCATGTCGAGAAACACCAGCTCCAAAGTGCCATAGGCAAGAGATGGTCCACCAGTCCAACAAATAGTGGTTAGAATCAAACTCAGAGGGAAACACGCGAGTAGATTCCACGAGACGAAGTATGAAGATCGAAATATTATCTACACTTCTTCCAGAGAAAAATCATTGATGCAAAATCATAAGCTTCCAATGAAGATTATGATGCGTTCAACAAGGAACAATTGCTAGAACGGGGGGAGTACCGCGGTGCGGGATCCAAGAGAATAAATGAACTCCACTCTTCAAGTCCACCTGAAATCCAAATTTTCTCCAGTCTGAACTGCAACTCGTTCGAACAGTCAAATTTTTGCAGCAGTAAATCCACTCCCTAATTTTATATGTGACAGAAGAAACATTTGCTACGTTAGCTGCAATGATAAGTATACTTCACAAGTGTTTTGTGCTTAAAGGACTTGAGGTGATATCGAGCAGTCTTACTGGAGGCAACATCTGAGTACTTTCGAAAATGGGGTCCATACACAAAACCACTTTTCTGGCGAATGACTTCATTGACAGTGGAGTCCCATCCGGTACGAGCAGAATCTTCTTTGAGACCCTTGTAAACCATGCAACAAATTGGAGGATCTTACACTTGCAACCAGGAGGTTGACGTCGTTACTTCCTTGCTGCCGAGAACAGGACTATCATGGTTGATGACAGATAAGTGAATGATCACCGAGAACTCTTCATCCACTGGTCGAATCACGCTCAATAACTCAACCAAGAAGCAGGCGAAGGGGAAACCCTTGCTGGATGTAGTCGAGGTTGAAATAAGACGTAGAGACCCATGTACTTAATCAAGCTGCTAACATCTCTTCCTCTGTTCAATAACATCATGTTAGTCAAAAACTGATGTGCAAGACGGCACTGGACCAGAAAAATTATCGAGACACAAGCATCACGTGTTTTCCGCTTGGATACCTTTTCTTCTAGATGATGAAGACTTCGCTTCAGGAATTTCTTCTTTTTTGACTTGCGTCGTAGGAACACTGGGCAAGTCTAAAATTTCTTCATCTTCCTCCTTTGCATTTTCCTTGGCAGGTGCAACCTCCTTGGATGATACCTCGTCCTTATCAGCCGTTGATTCAGTTAGCTTATCTGAAGCTGATCCTCTGGACATAACGAACAATCCCTCCGAAGGCTCTGCGATAGGCTCCTCCAATAATTTCCCTTTCTGGGGTTTTTCTCTTTCTGGTTCCTCAATATCTGCCGGTTTCTCTGGTATCTTCGTCGGCACTGATGGCACGTCCAGAAGTCCTTCCAACTCCATCTAGTTGCACGATTCACGCAACGAAGTCCTCATTATAGTTTTTGCATGTCTAGATCTTTAATACAGTGATTATAAGTCATCAAAAAACTGCCCGTAGGATAAATGAAAAGTAAGGTGCATGAGTTGAGTCTATGACAGCAGTGTGCTTGAAACTTACTTCGGTCTCAAGCTCGTCAAGCTCTGCCAACACTGCCTCGTCATCTTCGTCCGTAAGCTGCTGTCCCAAGACAGCATTGATTTCCTGCAGAAACAAACGCATCACATATACATGGTTAAAACGCTTGAAGACTTCGTCTTTAAGCGAATGCGTGCATTCATGAGTAAATGGAATGTAAGCTGACAAACTCTTACATGTCACCCAGGAATCTAATTTGTACATTAAGCATTGAAAGAATTTCCAGGTTCAAGTTTATACATCTTGATAGGCCTTCGCTTCTGCTGAGTCTTCCATCAGCTTCTGTACGTCTTCAATATTGACCTCCTTTTGTAGGTCTTGTATAGCCTTGTGTCCAGACTTCAGACTTTCAAATACAGCCTTCTGCCTGCTTGTTATCTCAATGTCTGACAGCTGCACCCAAAACTTAGAGATTTAGGCCTTTTTGAGTAAAGCTTTATTTCTTCATGAGTTGCAAGTACCTCTTTACAAAGAGATGAACACATATATTGTGGGAACTTGAATTGAAAAAAGACCTAGCTGATAGTCTACGTCAAGTTGAATTTTGCACGCAGAGATAAAAGTAATTTGACGCTTTGAATAGACAACATCCTTCTAGCTTCTTCAGCCACTTTGTTTCGACTCAGAGAGGGTACTAGCAATGTTAATGAATAGGGAGAACAACATTACGTTGTAGAATTACTCTTAGACGTCTTCCACATTTTCAGCTCTACTATGTCCTGGTAACCGACTCGCGTGAGGCTTTCCACTGGCTGTCCTCATGTGTACAACCAAATAACAGTATTTATCGTGCCATTTGAATTTCTGGCCTTTGAACTGCTAGGCCTGCTTGCTTGTTTGATAACATGCCGTCTGGATGATCAACTTCCAGGACTTGAGTCTACTAAACCGATATCCCGGCAGTTACCCATATAGGAAACATACTTGGCATAAACACCGTGGCGATTTTCAAAGCAGCGTAGCCACGACTACTTTTAAATATTTCATGGTAGATAAGGCAGAATAAATCATTCGATGACAATAGCGTGCGTTGTCACACGGATAACTACTTACGGTAAGGGAGTTGAGATTACAACAAACAGTGATATCCGTCGAAAGTCAAGAACCAGAGCATTAAATTGAATCTGAGCGAGCTGACCACATCCAGCATGCAACCGCTTGCCTTCAAATTGGCACGAGTTTAGAAACTGAGAGGAATAGCAAACCTGCTGCTCGACATTCAGAATCCAAACGTCTACTTTTTTCAAGAGTTCCTCCTGAGCCTTCTTCCTCTTCAAGGTTAGAAGGGCACGATCCTTCTTCTTCTGTTTGAGCAACTCTCTTGCAACTTCCACCTCCCGCTCGATAACAGCATCCAACTGATGAATTCAGAGTAAAAAGTCGAAATCCAAGAATGAGTCCAGTTACGAAGCTCTACAAGGCAAACACCTAACACGCCTCTTCCCTGTACACGGATTCAAAAAATGATTCATGACCAGCCTGATATCCAATTCGCAACCCAGTGGACGGCGAACTGGGACAAACAGAAGGAAATTCGGTACAAGCAAAACCCTAATATTTGGGAGACAGATTCTCATATACTAACTGTATCCGTAATGAAATCTCCAGAGTTTGCAAAGAATGAAATCGGCTCAGTTTCGCCACCTAATGATAATTAAATCTTTGTCAAATTTACTCACTTGGATGTGCAATTCAAAAGGAAAACGTTCAAAACTCTGAACGCGCATAAAAATGATCGCATTCCGAAGTTTTACCTTCTTTTGATAATCCGTGAGCTTGCGTCGCTGCGTTTTAAGAGTCAAAATAGCGCGATCAACATCCGTCACCTTCACTTTTCTGGAGAATAAATTCCCCATGGTCCCACGATTGCTACGATCGTCTCGTTCGCTTTACTCTAACCACTGTCTTCCAAACTGAAACCCCTTCAAAACTCTACTTCCAATTTCCGATCATGACCTCATAATAACGCGAATTCCATCATCCTCGTCACCCTGTCAGCTCAGCCTCCAAATCACCCGGGACACGAACATCTCCGAACTTTGCTACTTTCTTTTCCTCCTCGTTGTCAGTCAAGCTGTTTTCCTCACCCTCCCTCTTGCTCTACTAGCTATCACTCTCGTCTATTGCTCCAATCCGGCCTCCCTTCCGATTACGGTCAAAAATCCGTCTTTCCTGCAATCAACCAACAAATCGTCGTCGGATCCGCCAGCTGGTAAAGCTTTACTCACCAAAAAAATGAATTAAAACTATTCTCCCAATCGCCGGAGACCTGCTCCCGATTTCATTCAAACCTCGACGATCATCGACATCGGCATCGACATCAAGTCACGCGTCCACTTCTCAACGGCGACGACTCGCAGAACTGCGAATCCGAGTCTCTTCTTCGGCGCCCGAGCGGTTGACGACGTGCACGCAATTCGGCCCGCGAATGCCGCAGTCAACGGCGCGGCGCGGCTCGATCGATGGATGGCTGATTGTCCGTGTCAGCAGCCACGAGCCCTTGCGCACTGCCTTCTTCGACCAAGAGAGAGAGAGAGAGGACATGAAACGGAGCCAGCAAGGCAGCCAGATCAGCATGCTCCTGCTGCTTGCCCATGCATGGAACCGTAAAATGCGATTTGATATTCCGCTGCGCCATAATTTAATCGCATTGTTTATCTAATGGATGCAGACGCATTCCGCTAGTCTGGAGGAAGACACACTCCGACGACAGGTCATCAAGTAATAATTAAAGGACATCGCAGCATTGTTTCCTTTTTTCCTCGCGACATGAGAGTGAGCAGGCCGTTGATTTTATGTCGACTTTTCCGATTTGCAGCGAGGATTCGTCGAATATTCGCGCACCGAGCGAGAGAACCCGGCGCCGGAACGCGAATGCTGACGCCTGCTGACGAGCTTTACGTCAGGGCTGCAGAAAGCGAAGGGGAGATCGGGGAATGCATTGAATGCTTGGACGACGAGCAAATCGATCAGCCTCCGGCCTCGATGGTCGATAAATCGGAGTGTTGAATTAGAGGGATAATAATGCAATTAGTGTTGAATTAGTGATGAGGATTTGGGGACTCGTTGGTGGTCCCGTGGTGAAATAAAAGCGGATTATTTCTTGGGATTTAAGAACTGGGGACTATTGATGCCGTAAAGCATGCCGCAAAGCTCCATCCGGTACCTGTTTTCGAAATGACGGACGGGCAGCACTGAGTTTTCTCCGGCACGACTCGTGCGCAGTGGGACAGGATTCGACGCACATGCCGGTGCAGCCGGTCGCATTTTGCTCCGAGAAGAATGACAGGAGCGGGAGATTCCCTCCGCGACGACGCGGTGGAAGCGTCGCGCCGGCGAGGTTCGGCGAGAACTCCGAGCACCGAAGGTTCTGGCGGGACGTCGATCGCTTCAGCCAGCGTCGCGAAATCGGTGAGGGACCTCGGAGACGACACGAGGTCGTCGCGCGTCGACGTCGCTCCGGGCCTCACGACGCGTCGGGCGTGTTGCTTCAGCGCGACGTCAACCGAAAGTCGCGAATCTTCAGCCGGTCTCCGCACGGCGGCGATGCACAGCCAAATGAACCGAAATCGAGCGACTCGACGAGAAAGAATGAAGACGAAAAGAGCGACAGATAAGACAAAGGGAGGACCCGTTGGCGCCGGTGGAAATTTTCAAGAACGCACCCCCGAAAGATCGGCGTCCATTTCTCCAGCCTGGCATTTTCGGATCTCGACCGTCCAACCAATTGGTTCCCCCAGTCCCAGCCCCAGCCCCCCCCCCCCCCCAACGAAGCCCCTCCACGTATTTCTGCAACCCCCGAATTTCCGAGAAACGTGCCCATGACAAACGATCGGGGGCCCCTCGGCGGATGAAGGTGCTTCTGTTGGTAACGGCTTACGAACGCCGGGAGATTTTACTCCGAGCAGTGAGATGCAGATTTACCCCTCGAATCTCCTGGAATCGCCGTCGGGTTGACGTCATGACCCCGAACCTGCGACTTCGTTGGCTCCCCGGTTCGGGAGAGGGTTGGAGGGACGGAACCTGGCTTCGGTTCCAACGGAAGCCGCGCGTGGCGACGACAGCGTGACCGGGCTTTTGACGACCCGAGTGCGGCTCCGATGGTTGCGAGACGGCCCCACAGCCCCGCCCCCACATGCTCGCGACGCCACGTCGACGTGTCGGAGGGAGGTCGTCGGGCCTCCGTACTTCTGGTGCTAGCTGTCAACGGCACTGGCGTCCGGAAGGTGGCCCCCAGTACCGTCGGGCTGTGCCTGGGGGAAATTGGTCGCGGTCATGGTCGAGAGGGCGGGAGAAGGAATCTCTACGGAGCCCCGACTGTCATCCTCATCATCATCGTCGAGTACCTCTTAGTCACCTGGGGTGCTTCATGTTAAAAGGTCCGACTAGCCCGCTACCGGACTGGATCCAGTCTCACGATCGACGATCCCGAGAAGAAGGCACGGAAAAGGCACTCGGACACCTTCGTCGAACTTTAATACAGCCACTTGGAAAATAGTCAGTACAGCCTCGGGTTTCGACTCGCGAGATGGGTATGAGCCCAGTGTGCTAAAGCCCCTAACAAGTGAAATACCAAAGAGGTACGTGTGGCTGGGGCTGGGGCTGGGAGGACCCCATCAAGAGGTTACATGGGGCTGGGCCTGGGCCTGGGCCTGTGCCTGGACCTAGGGATGCTCACGGCTCGGCTAACGGCTAGCCGGCTAATATTTTTTGTTCGCCGGCTAGCCGTCGACTTAAGCGGCTAGCCGGATCGCTACCGAAGACCGAAAACGATCCGAAAACTCGGACCGAATCTTAGTTTTCGGCCGTTTTTTCGGCCGATTCATCCAAATTTCTACCCCCAAATTCTTATTTCGTTCGAATATTTCAGCCGAAATGCGTTTTCGGCCGATAGCCGTGGGATAATCGGCTAGCCGGCTTAACGTGAGTCCCTAGCCGGCTACGTGACCATGCCTACCTGGACTCAACAGCATAGTGCTTAAGCCGCTGTGCCGCTAACAAGTAAAACACCAAAGAGGTACGTGTGGGCTGAGGCTGGGTTGGGGCTGGGACGACCCCATCAAGAGGGTACATGGGGCTGGGGCTGGGGCTGGACCCCAACAGCATAGTGCTTAAGCCGCTGTGCCGCAAACAAGGAAAATACGAAAGATGTACGTGTGGGCTGGGGCTGCGGTGGGACGACCCCATCAAGAGGGTACATGGGGCTGCGGCTGCGGCTGGGGCTGGGCCCCAACAGCATAGTGCTTAAGGCGCTGTGCCGCTAACTAACTAACACGGGCATTGGTTAGAGATTCGATCCGGGGCTGGCTGGCTGGCTGGCTGGCGGGGTCCGTCTCGTGTCGTGCGACGATGCGAGGCGAGGCGCTCGCGTCCCGCTCTGGATTTCTCTCAAGCTCGCTCGCTCGCTTCACTGCTGCGGCGAACGATGCAGCGAGCGACGAGTGAGTGCGCCGAGGAGAGCATCCCCAGCTCCTCGTGCATGACACGGCGATTCCTCCGTCGAGTGCTGCTGACTCCAGGCTCGAATTCCACGCACGCAGATCTGCGTTATTAGGCAGGCAGGCAGGCAGGCAGGCAGGCCCGACGCCGGAGACTCTCGGAGTGCGAATTCTTCATCTCGTCGACGAGTTGCTGTTTGCGAGTGGCCGCGAGACCGCTCTCTGCGCTCTGTTGCTCGATGCTGCTGCCGATGACGACGTGGATGGTGGCGATGTTGGGGATCGAATAAATCCAGGAGCAGGTCGCTGGCCTGGAGACGGGGCGAGACGAGGCGCGAGGGGATTCGACCACAGGTCGGTGTTTGTTAGTCCAGATTTCCCAGTTCGCAGGACGAGGATCAGTTGGGCCGGAGTTGCAGGAGGAGCGCAGTGTGGCAGTGAGTGGAAGCAGGAGGACGAGCGAGGTGGTGGAGACGAGATTGGTTCTTGATAGCTAGTTTTTGGGGGAAGATGAATGATGGATGTGGGTTTTCAAGCGGAGAGTGAAGGGTAGAAGGAAGGAGCGAGACTGAAGGTATCGAGCAGAGGAAGGAAAGGACGAAAACAGAGTGAGCAGGAGGACGAGGCAAGGGGCCAAGGCTGGTCGAGGTTGGAGCAGGTTGTGAGCTTGGTGATTTGGTGGCCCTGAGCTGACAGGGTACAAGGGCAATGACGAAGATCAAGACTGGGGATTGAGACCCGATTGGTTGATTGGGCATTCGTCGAAGGGAGCTCGGATACTGACAGGTGAGGTAGGTGAGTGAAGTTGGGAGGTGACGAAGAGGTTCGTGTGATAACATAGGTGAGAAAACAGGGCTATACATGGAGACGCAAGCGCGTAGGTATTCTTCCAATGGTGCGAGCACTAGCAGTAGGAACACCAGTCCTAACTACTCCGCCGCGCGCAGCTCACCTCCTCTGCCACAACCACGTTCTGTACCGGACTTGCATGGACGTGCTCGGAAGAAAGCAGAATTGAATCGTCTGAATGCGGAGATTCGATTGCTTCAGGTGGGAATCACGATATCTCTGAACTCTTTCCTGTGCCAGCAATGCCTGGTCACCTTGTCTATTCTGGCTGTTGCGATAGGAGTAAAACTATTCAAACTTGAAGGTCGCTTTATTGTCGTGCTTATAGGAATGGAGGTCAATGTGCTTGTTGTCCCAACATATATCATTCAGTACATACTGAACACACTCTGTCAAATTGTAGATTCTTGTGGTATGGTTTCTACTGCACTACAAAGCTCATTGGACACAATCTGCATCGCTTCTGCTGCTGTTTATAATGAATGCAGCTGTAGTAGTGTGATATTTATCATTGTTAACTACCCTGTTGGAACTCCTCTGGCGTTTCTTGTAAGCCTCCAGTGTGGTGTAGCTTGCTCGTGAACTCAGCAGCAGAATATGTCAAAATGACTCTTTCCTTGTTTTATGATATTGTTACAACATTGAGCGATGTTCCGACACCATCATGTGATACCGTTTTGATAAATTGTGCTTTTCTTTTTCAGGATGAATTGCAGAGACTAGAGACATTGCCTCCAGCATCAGAAGTATGCAAGATGTAAGCATTGCTTCTGAAATAATAATTCTAAAACTTTGTCATCGACTTGTTTTTATAGCTGGAGTGTCCGCGAAAGATCTTATACGACGTGCTGGATCAGTAGACCACAACCGAGCCTAATCCTCGTAGACGGAAACGTTCTTGTTCATTCATGGGTTTGGCGTGGAAAAGTGTGGCATTTAATCCAGGTGGCGGTAGTAGGCCCCTTCCCATGCATCGTTGGTTTACAAAGCAGTGCGATTCATGTCAAAAGAGTTGGGAAACTGCTTTTTAAGTCGACCAGTGACAGTGATAACGTTCTGCGTTTGCTGGGCAGATCGTGCTGGGTGTCGGCTCAAAATCATATTTGCCTTGTTCTAGGTTTAGAGCCTTTTAGCCCCGGTATTGAACTCATATATTGACTAAACAAATTGTAATTAATGAGTCGGGTGCTGAAAACGATTGACAGGTTGGTGCAATCAATTGAGAGCCAAAGTGACCCATTCCTAGGAACGTAAGTAACCCTATCAGTGTTCGTGCTGCTCAATATTTCGGTTTCTAAATTTTTTTAAGTCTGAAAAGCGTAATTGTTAGATGAAGAGAGAACTGACAATAATGTGATGCTCTCCTTTCTGTTTGCAGCTCTCCTGGTCAGCAGGAATGGGATCGATGGTTCCGAGGACCTCCGGCACCTAAACCGAAGTGCTGTTGTTGTCCATGAAGGTGGTAGCAGAATGATGGTAACCTTTCCATCTAGGCACAGCTCTCATTAACCTGGCGTTGAGCCATTGCAGTTATGTGCACAAGTTGCCATCCAACGCATCTTCAACACCTCCGGAAGGTGGCAGAGGAGTAAAGGCTCCGAAGGCGAGCGTACGCTATAGAGTTGAGGCAAAGTTGGGTACATTAGCTCAAACCTGCATTTTGTCTTCGAAATCATGGCTGCTTGTCTGTGACCTTCGGATTAGCTGATGAGTTTATTTGAAAGATTAGAAAACGATTCTGGTTTACTCCTTGAATTAGGTATTGTTTCTGTAGTAAGCCCAGTATGTTGGGCTACATCAGTTTTGACACATCATATCTTGGTATGACACACACGCTCATATTCGATAAGTATACTGAATGCAGGCAGATCAAATCTGTGTTTTCTCATTTATTTGGTGTTTTGACGCACCTTTTTAATTTACAGAACGTTCACCCTATCGGGATTGTTGGTTCTTGTGTGCTTTGACTCGTCCAGTCAGTGAATTCTTTCTATCATGTTAATTGCTCTAGAACACCCGCTGGCGATGCAAGCTAGTGTAAGGATGCAAATGATACAAAGTTTCTCGCCTGCATGCATACATCGTCGGTTGTCATTGACTTTCTTACCTTTCCAAACAGCGGATGTCTTATCGTTCTGAAGCAAGGAAAATCTTTAATATGTTGTTTCAGGCTCAACTTCGTCTCACCCTTCGATGCGCAACTATGCCTCTAAGAGAGATGTCTAAGTTTTCTTACAGATGGTCATGAGTAGTGAAGGGTTTCGTCCTGTGTGCAGATCAAAACTTCTGGAAAAGAAAAATGCTTGGTGTTAACCCTATAACCTTTACGAGTCGTTTGAATTACGTTAGTACATGACTATGTAGAAAACATAAAGGACACTGCTGTTCTCCCAGTAGGTACTCTTGTGTTTCTTCACGCCATTAGTACTATTGAAAGTTGGAAACACGAGTTTTCTCGATTGTTTACCCAACAAGGTGTACTTGAGCTAAATACATAATCTGGCAACTCCAAGGTATATATTTTTTTATTTGAACTGTAAGTTTACATGCTTGTCTGGTGTGTCAGGTCTGCTCTAGTGCTAATGATGAACCGTCGTTGGAGCTCGATGCATATATGACTATTTCATGTAAGTCGTTATTATACGTACATTAATGCATAGCAAAAAAGACAGGTTAGTCACCGCGATTGGTCATCGCAACGATTTCTTTTCCCCTTTTTGAATTAGTCTTCCTAGTACACATTGCGCAGTACCTCTGAACTCGTCAAATCAGAGTTACATTCATCCTCATGCGTTGATCTGCTTTGGAGTAGTGGTTGACGGAAATTTATTTGTAGTATCATTGCGATGTTCAATTACGATAAACTTGCAAAACGAAATGAAGTGCGAGGAGACGAATATTTCGAACATTTGTAAGTGTATTGACTATCGATGTAGCACGATTGAAACCTCTTGGTATGCCTTCTTGTACCATATGACTGTCAATTGTAGTGAATCACTACAAGTGACAACCATTACAGCAAATCACTATGTTTGTGCGGATATGATCACATAACTTCTTAACACTGAAACTTTCTTTGATATTGGGCATTATCATGACCTTGAATCAATGCAACATGATTTTTTTAAGCGGTGGATTTTGCGAAAAGTATTTTATCTACTGAAAGATAGACCACAACACTTCAATTCGATGATCCCTTTCACTGGTTCATTTGCCACAGCATATCAAAAGCCTCAGGATAGTCAAAATCCAGTAAAGATATTAGACATGCGACAATTATACATGGTAACCAATATGGGCTCTACTCATGACCGCCGCTTTCTCCCGTCGAGAAAGAAAATGATGAAAACTGTCTAATTATTAAATTTCAACTATGACAGAGCTTTCTTGAATAAAGACCTAAATTCCAAATGTACAGATCTATTAGCGAACAGGTCTAGAGTATCCATTCCAACCACTGAAACAAGGAAACAACCTTGTATTGCTTCTACTTCACAGTATGAACAGATAGTTCTATCTAGGAGGTAAATATCCACCTGAAATGGTTTCTTGTTGAGGCGGTTGTCCCTCCACTATCATGTTTGGCTCTTCCCACAACGGAAGCATGATTTGCTGGAGGAAAATACTGAGATCCTCATCCTCGTTAGGCGCAAGGGATATGATGTGCATGATAGCAGTGTGACGAAGAGCAAGCTGGTCGTGTCTTGGCAGATGTCTCGCACTCTTCATAGGATTTCTGTTGAGCTTATGGGACTCTTATATATAATCTAAGTCAATGTCCAAGCCATCATCCATCGGCACCCAAGGTTGCAGAAGAGACTCCACAGTCAGTCTCCGAGCTGCACCTAACATGGCAATGAAAAATCGGCAGCCATCTATCTTGTACTCTTCCAATGGATTCATATGACCAAAGCTTCTAACATTCACCTGCACGGTAATAACAATCCGAGTAAAATGTCAGGACTCTGACAGATTGGATACATCCAGGGCTGAAGTTCCAACCATAAGGGAAAGATGGGAAAACATAGCGAGGTGAGAGAGTTACCGCTGCTCGAAGGCGATTCATGTTAATGAGATGATCCCTCCAATACTGGTCAAGAGCTTTCACAGCCAATACTCTCTGTGCAATAATACAAAATTATTAACTCAAAAAAAAAAAACGACCTGAATTTGCCTCAATTGCACCTCAAGCTTGAAGCGTAAAATCCGGTATCTCCGAAGACGATTTCGTGTTGGGTATGTTCTTTGTTACAACTCGAAGTATTTCCTATTTGAAAATGTCTAATTACCTCACCTTCTTTACAGAACGCATTACAAACACAAGATTCCAATCACGAAGCTGGCCAACGTGACAAAAGCTTCGCTTACCTCTAATTGTTCAACTTTTGTAGCAGACAAAGACGACCTCCTCAGTTTCTCCTGATACGTCGTTACTAAAATGTCTCCTAGATACTTACGCAGAAGATGGACCTCTCTCTGATACTCGCCGTCCCTTTTATCAAAATATTACACCAAGAATTAAAAGATGACATCACGACTTGCTGATTGAATTCAACAGCAACATGAGTTCACACCATGACTTCAATTCATTTTGTCGCCCAAAAAATAGTGTGAAGCCCCAGGTTACGGTAAACATACGGGACAGATCCGTCAGACGTGATCTCCAACCATCTTTTCATCGCACTTGCTTTACGACGCAGGCCTACAGGATGGTCTGGCAGAGGTGGTAAGCCCGGCAAAACCGAATCATCCAGATCGACTTTCCGTTTATGCCGCACGTCTTCCAAAGCATTGATCAACATTTCTTCTGTTACTTTGTCCAGCACAACTGCAAACGAGTGTTGAGTTAGAACATATCAAACGAAGCGACTACCCAATAACATGGATCCCCATACATCGGCAATGATATGCTTCTCTTATCTGTGCTTCAAATTGCAGTAAAAACCTTTGCAAATTCGAAAGGTTATAACAAGACTTTAGTGGCACAACGGTGATTGGAAACATCGGTTGAAACAATCTTTTCAAACTACAATTTGTAAAACGTACTCGAAGGAGCAGAGTAGTTAGGAAGTTCCAAAAACGTTTTATCCAAAAGATCGTGAAATTTCTCCAGGACATCCTCAAGCTTCCAGGAACTCGGAGACTGCAAAATCTCAGCAGCATGACTTGGTTGTCAAGATCCAGAAAACTCCCAGCAGTATAATAGCTGGCTTTACTTGAATGGATCAAATTGCTGGTTCTCCAAAACATCCACCCGTTTGTACAGCTCGCACATTCTCTTGAGTTGTATACAATACCTTAGAAGAATCAACGGATGGAAGGACAATGTCATCAGCAACGGCTTGCATGTATCTGTAAAACATGGTTTGAGGTTGTCATGGTGGTTAGGCAGGGTATTATTGACAATCGCGTTCTACCAAAACCGAACCTTTGTAGCGAGTAGCATACTGAAGATACAAGCTTTGGCATGGACGCTGAACTTCGAAAGTGAAAACACAGTATAGATTGACTGTATACAGAAAAGTATTGGGGAAAAATTAAGTTCCAACCTGTAAAGACGTTCTTTGCAAGATTCGCCTCTTTCCAAGAGCAACGCCTGCCTGAGGTTGTAAACGTGTTTTCTCTGGACCTGTGGGTCCGCGTCCCAGAATACCGAATGATTACCGTTCTTAACCATATGATGTTACAAATGCAGACATCGTGGTAGCATGCCTTCGAAGAACAGGAAGAGGAGCTATGAGGATAGAGAGACTTATGGAGATCTTCAATCTTGGAGACAAACTGAAGCTTGATCGGTTGGTTTGCAGGCACTAATTTTGGTAAAGTTTGAGAACCTCAACGAGTTCTTTCTGGAAAATGACCTTAGCTTCTTCACCTATGCAAAGACTCCTAGTGTCCATTAATTGACAGGTTTAGAATCTCAAGAGTAACAATCCAAGTCTCTAATAAGATGGTAAAACAATCGATGCATTGAGGCTTATACTTTAGCAAACTACTGTTACTTCTAACCTCCTAACTCGTTTTCTCAGCAAAAACATCAAGAAACATCCCAATCAGGCATCTACCTCCATTACTTCATCGTACTCTACTAAACTTTTTCGCACACCGAAGTAGTATCGCTCAGCAGCCTTCTGTAGATCAAGCAACTGCAGTCATAGCCGGTTAATCGCATATGCATTATCAGCAGTCAATGCACAATAGGAAAAGAGAAGTCAAATTCATCTAACACTCGTAGACAAGGCATTGATATAAGATTAACAGAGCAAAGCAGGGAGTAACAACTAACTTACCCGATTAGCAAAGGAACGGTTCTCGATAGGAATGTTGTCATCCAGGCCTAGTTTACTAATCAGATTAGAAGCCCACTCTGCATTGAACTTACGAAACATTTCGTCCTGTAAGCTGCCAGCCAAGTATAAACATCAGTACCAAATGTGTAATAAGATCGAGCTGAAAGTGATCCTACAAACATTTTCAGCAAGACACTCACAACGCTCACGCCTGCCAAGTATGTTGACCTTACAAATACCTGATCATAAATCTTGTTGACCCGGGATCACCCTGCCTTCCAGCTCGTCCTCGTAGCTGCACAAACGTGACAATCAATTTTCACTTATATGAGTAAAATATGAAAGTCAAACTGTAAAGGTACTTTGAACGTTTCCTCAACTGGGAAATCGTATTTGAATTAACAATGGCACTTACAAATTTACTCTCCTGCCATCATCAAGTGACAATGGTGCTTCCGTATATACTCCCCTGCCGTAATTAGCGAAGGCTGCGTCGTAGGCACTGGTTTTCGTTGTTGTCAATTGATATCCGAGTCAGATCATAGCAATTTCTATGTAATAGTAATACGAGGTAAATAGTAACTATGTGGCTGAGTCACAAGCTACCAGTTTCAGATCAGTGTGTCCAGGCTCAATGCTGAGCTTGAAAGCTGTATGTATGGCTTCTCAGTAAGAAAAGCAATCAGAGAGTCAGAGAGTTTGTCAGTGATCATTCCCTCAATCCCTCAAGAACTGATCAAACCTGTCAGCTGTTGGATTACTGAGATAGCAATCTATCTGCATTCGACTAGGAGCTTGGTTCAAGATGTGAAGTGCGACATTAAGAATTTTGACCTCGGGAGCATTGCTTAGAATCTACCTGAGGGTTAGAGTGAGTGTGGGCAATCTATGGCAAGTGAATGAGAGTTCACAGGACCTACTGTGGTAGGAGAGACATCATCTGGAAGTGGATCACATCTATAAACTGAGTGTCACAACTCATTATGAACGAAAATGCCATGTTGGATTGAAGATGGTACAGCTTCTTACTTGATTATCAACACGACGAGATTCATGCAAAGCTGTCCCTATAACGTGAAGTCCACCGAGCCTTTTTACTTCGGCACCTTCTTCTTGACAATGTACTTGACAATCTCGAATGATAGAGATGTATGCAAGTGCTATGCAAGCCCGTGTACTGGATATTTCGGACCCGCCGCCTTTTGCAAGCTGCTCCAATTCAAACTCGTCCTGCTCTGATGCCAGGTCCAGTGCTGATTCTAGCTTCGACTTAGCCTCCCGGTAATTCCAGGTCTCATTGTTTCTTCCACATAAAAACGAAACTGAGGGACCAAATATATGGGGATAAGCGAAAAATGATATACCAGTATGCAGAATGTATAGCAAGAGACTCGCATCGAGGGTACCAAGGGAAACAAATTGTACACTATTGTCGTAGCCTGAAGAGCATAGACCTCGCGACCTTGCTAGTGACAAAGGACGGAGTGCATACAGTGAGGGGGCAAGTAGAACCGTGAACAACATCATACACTGACTCACCTGCGCGAGTAGCCACATTAATCCTAGCCACTGAAGTTGAACTTTGCTTAATCTTTGACAGAGCCTGGAAGCCATGGTAGAATCTCCAAAATTCAGGAATATTTCTGTATCATTTTTTTGAAACTGCAGCAAGATCTTTCTCTTCCTCAATGACTAGGCAAGGAAGTTTCTTCTCAGAGTAGAAAGAACAGAACTTAAAAAGTTGGTGAAATTCAAAAATTACACGAATTGAAAGAATTGTGACTTCAAACACGAGTAGAGTTCTGACGTACCATTTGTGATAAGGGAGCCCCATCGGTATCTATATTAGGTGCCTCATTTGTCATATACCCAATCAAATTGTTTTCAACAATCTCCTTGGCGAGCATCTACAAGTAAAATGTTGTGTCCTCAAGCTCAATCCATCATCGAGGCCACAAAAGGTGGGCAGTGAAGTCATTATTCATACTAGTGGACTGGATCACAACGACTTACGCTTTAAAACGGAAGGCAACCTTTTGATTGAGAAGAACACACATGAATAAGAAGATTCACAAAGTTACATTCCCACTATAAGTCAAGCACTTTGATGAGAAGTGCGCTTAATAGCTAGCAACAGCCTATGGAACACTCACTTCAGAATTTCCACCTAGTATGATGTCGGTGCCTCTTCCAGCCATATTAGTTGCTATCGTGATTGCGCATTTTCTTCCAGCTTGGGCCACAATCTCAGCCTCCCTAGCCGCATACTGTTTTACAGGAAAAATCTCAAGATTTATTTTCAGCTCAATTGAAAGGAAACAACAATGGTTCTCAAAAAAGGCATTTAACATACGAATTTGTCAATTTTGAGAGATCAAGTCAACTTCTAAAACTCTCTTCAGAGAAATCATGTAAAAGACAACTTCCACTGCAGACGAAGATACCAGTGGAAAAACAACATAAACTCCTAACTCGTATTTTAGAAGTTGAACCTTTGGCCGGGCATTGAGAACATTGTGAGGTATGCCCCAATCTCTTAGAAGTTCTGATAGGTATTCCGACTGCTCCACACTGTAAGATTTGAATGAACTGTAAGGTTTGATATCTCTAGGAATATTATTAGAACCAAAGATAAGGGCAAAATGAATCCACAGGCTCATAAAAACTTAAGCAGAAGTCGATCAGTTGACAAACTCAGTGGCTCTGGTTGCAGCCCTCAAATGTGAATACGAATTCGTATTTACACATAATCTGGAGGTGTCTGAATCGGCTGATAACGAAACCATCGAATGAAGACAACAGAAGGTCTCTAGGTAAGAAGGCTTGGATACCACCGAAGAACAGGAAGCCTCACCTTGTAGTACCGACCAATACCGGGCGTCCCTGTGTGTACATAAATTCCACCTCTTCTCTAACTTTCTCCCATTTACCCTTCGCAACCTACCAATAAATAACAGTATACGAAGCAGGGGTTAATTGTTGAAAGAAGTTAGATGTATCTGTATCGAAACTTCAACAATGATATCAATAATTTCCTTAAGAACCCCCAACGAAAGGAAGCTCCATAACTTACTGGAAAAAGCTGTAGGGGGAGATCCTGCCGGATATTTGGTAAGTTTGTCGGTACTTCAACTACAGGCATCTTGTATATCTTTAAGAACTCAGCTTCCTGCGCAGTCCACACTTATCAAATTAAATACACGCAACTTGACGCTGAATACCGAAACGCAGTGGAAAGCAAAAACCTTCTTGAGCCTAAGACTAGTTTCTGCGAAGCTTTCGCATACATCGAACGCAGACTCAAGTAAACTAGTCATTTCTTACCTCTGTTTTAGCGGTGCCTGTCATGCCAGACAGCTTAGGATAAAGTTTGAAAAACGACTGATAAGTGATCTGTGCAACAGTCACGGTGTCCGCCTGCACAGGAGAAAAAGGAACATTACTGATTGTAAATGTTAAGCTTCTTATCAAGAAAGGTACTCAATGACATTGCAAGAGACAGATCACACAGGTCAAAACATTGAAACAGCATAAATGATAGAAAAAAAATTTACCTGTATTCGAAGACCCTCCTTAGCTTCGACCGCTTGATGAATTCCATCCGACCAGCGTCTATTTTCTACAACCCGACCAGTAAACTGCAAAAATACACAACCGTTAGTGACATCACGAACATGTATATTGGACCTCCCACAAGTCACTGATAAATGGAAATCAGCCGTCACCTGATGACATCTCATCAGTACCTGTCAAAACATGTCAAGAATTAGATCAGAAGGCAACCCAATCAAAAGTATATACTGCATCTACAGACCTCGTCAACAATCTGAACTTGCTCGTCCTTGACAATATAATGTACATCCCGTTGATGAAACTCCTTTGCCTTCAATGCTGTTATCACAAACCTGTTCGGCCCAGTAGGTGTAATAACTTCGATCAAAATCCACGAGTGAAATAATGTCACCATAATCAGGTTAAAAAATTTTCTAAACTAATCAAAATTCAATGTAATTTAATCGTGTGACTTAGTTAAAGGAGGACATTTACCGAGCCCACGGATCTCGTTCATCCCACAAATCCTCAGTATCAAGAGCAAGCTCTGCTGCTGCGACACCTTCTTCAGTCAACTCCGTATTTTTGTCCTTCCAATCCACCTTGTAATGCTGCATACTTTCCGATGGATATAGAAAGCTCTCAATGGATGTTCAAAGGAAACAAAATATACCAACTGCAGAAAAAATAGGAGTTCTGAAGTCTATACTGTTAAAGCTTCTCAACAGCTACAAAAAACAATGGGAATGATGTGACGAACTTCCAAATCCATTGAGTTCAAGGGATCGCACTATTGCTACATGCCGTATCCAAAAGCATGAGTGGAACTGCTTACATAATCGGCAACCAGAAAGTCCGCAACTTCAGCGGCAACTGGATATCGAGCAGCGTCTTTACTAGACTGTTCCACCAAAGAAAACGATAGACTTAGCAACGAAGAGCGTGATGCGAAGACTTACAAGTACCAAGACAACATGTTTTTGCAGTTTATTGATCTGAAAGATTTATCACATCTATTCCTTCCACATACGTAGGCATCTACAATATGACCCAAGTAATTGAACTGAATGTAACTGTTTCTTCAAAAGTAACCACAGACACATTCATCCCAAGGTCTACTTCAATTCCACTGACGAGCCTGAAAGAACCTCACCTGACTACTTATAAGGAGAGGATTCCTTCCTTCATCAATAAGGACAGAATCAACCTCATCTACAATAGCAAAATTGAATGGATTCGGCCTGCAATTTTCCAACCATATACAGGAATAAACAGGTTGCCGTTAGGAATAAAAAAGCTGAGGACAAAGCAAAAAGCAGCTAATGGAGTATAGTTCCTTTACAGAATTTACAACGAAGTGAAACAGTACCAGCGCATGACAAGATCCTCCTTCTTCTCACTTGTGTGATCCCGGAGATAATCAAAGCCAAGTTCCTACACCCTCAAAATGTTCCGCCAGTTAGAGATTAAGGCAACGTATGAGTGTAATTACTGCAGATGTTTTTGAAGAATACAGAACTCCCAAAATTTTGCACAGCTTTCGGTCAACTGATTAAGCAGCCCACAATACTCAAACGTATTTATATCATTGAAGATGGTAACTCCTTGACTCAACAGCTAGATTCTATATCGCTGTTGATTCATTGATCAAGTTGACATTAAGTTTGAGACGGGTATTACACGACTTGATAATTTGTCGTACTGCCTCCAATCAACGTATGATAGCAAGCTATGCAGTTTTATCTTAGTAAACCATTATGTCTTGTGTCACTCATTTCGTTTAAATGTGAACAAAAATTACACGGCCTTATTTGAAGATAGAACTCTTCTTACAGTTCACAATTGTCTCAACACATGGATATGTAGAAATATTGGAAGGTGACATACCGCGTTATTGGAGTAGGTGATGTCACATGCGTAGGCCTCCTTCCTTTCATGTGGGCGCATATTTGACTGAAAAATTTACCAAAAAAACCCCGAACTTAGTTGAATAAGTGTATATGAGCTTAGCTGCTTAAGTTTTGCAGTCATAACGTTGTGAGATCAATTTGATCCATTAACTTATCTACGGAAGTGATATAGACTAAATGGTGGTAAGAACTCAAACTCCGATGCAGTCCTGAAAATTAGGCCAATAATAGTTGCTTCTGGTTGTAAAATGCTTTCAAAAACATAAAAGTTGAGTCTTATACTTGAACAAGGCCGACGGATAGACCAAGAAAGCGATGGATTTGTCCCATCCACTCGGCATCTCTTTGCGCCAAATAATCATTAACCGTAACAACTGCGAAACCGAAACCATAACCAGTCTGAGTTGCAATTGGGCCTGAATCTTTAAAGACAGGTATACCATGAGCCTTTTGATTCTCGATTCTCTGATCAATCCAGATCTTAGAAGTGAATAGTAGAGAAAATCTCTACAGAACGGAATTAACCACAAGCAAGGAGCCATACCATGAACGCCTCGACCGGTCAACGAGTTCAAGTAAGCTGGATGCCAGACAAAAACGATCAGATGAGCACGTTATAAATAAATTATATATATACATAAAAGTCTATACCTCGGAGTTTGAAGTCGACCTTACTACTACTACCTTGCTGCCTGACTGACATAACCTAATGAGTTCACGGAAATTCCCCAACAATGTGAGGTTTGGAGTTGATGCAAAATGGTTAATAATTCCTCAATACCAAAAATCAACAACAAAAACTGTGATTTCCTGAGATTACCTGCGAGAGGGGAGACCAAAGTTTTTCCTTCGCCTGTTTTCATCTCCGCAATGCCTCCATCGTGCAGCACTGCCCCACCAATAATCTGCACCAGCCAATCTCTTAATGACATAAAGTATAGCTTACAATGTTCCCACGAGAGACAACTAAGAGATTAGCTGCTTATCCAGCAACCGTCTTGACTTTCCACTTCAAAGTTCAAGGAAGACACACGGGTGCAAAAGCGATGCTCGGACTTGGACACTCTTTTCCTAAGTACATGTGACACTTTCAGTTTTCTGCCCGGCAATGTCTGCACTGGTTTTGAATGTTGTAACACTAGCCACATATCACGGCTTCCAAACAAATTGCACTGAAACTTGTATTTAACGAATATAACACAACAAACGGAGCAAAAAGCTCGAGTAATGAGAACCGAAGATAGATCTACCTGCACATCAAAATGTCGCATTCCCAAGGTACGTCTCGCTGCTTCACGAACGACCGCAAAGGCTTCTGTGACAAGCTCAACAACAATTACGAAACAGTAGTCATATGAGCATAGCCTGGAAAGTTTCTAGCAAATACAACACTGATTTATGTGCCTTCAATGAACCGAACATGACGCGCAAATGCAGATATTTGCACATCATAAGCTACAATTTTGAGAAGAGAAAACTTCTAACCTGCTTGGATGGAATCTAAAGTTGCTCCATTTTGAAGACGCTGCCGAAATTCATCCGTCTTACCACGTAGCTGAAATGCCAAAAACCAACACCTCAGCAAATTATAAAAAGCTCAATTGGAAGACTTCTACATTTCAAGAAATTGGCAAAAATTTACAAAGGAAGTCCCAAAATTACAATGCATTTCAGCTCACACGCCTGTTCATCTGTAAGAGCTCGAATTGAAGATTCTAAACTATTCACAGCTTCGACCAGCTTGTAGTAATCACGAACGACCCAGTGATTGAGTTTCAGCATCTGTCGCCAGTTATCCTTCACATAATCCATATTCTCCTTAGCTTGCGGAAGAAAAGAGACCGGCCTTCCCGAAACCTGTCGAACTTCGAAATTCTTCGTACTGCGCCCGCAGAAAAATGCGCCCCCATTTTTTGAAAATCTGCAGCTTCTACTCAAGAAAGAGATTCTACCAAAATTCCCCGAATTCCTTGAAGCAAGAATTGCAGTTGAATTCCTTGTAGTGGAAGTGTTAGGACCCACGAAACCGATTCCGAAGCTCGAGTTCGCCAATCTAGTGGCGCCGAAAAGCACACCGTCTGGACCCATTGCAACACACCAACAGCACGAATGGCGCTCTTCGATGCTTTTGTTCTTGATTGCGCGAGGTCGCGAAGCTTCAGGTGCCCATCACTTTCTGAACAATCAGGTTACACGACGGTCGCGATCATAATTGTGACGGTCACAGCTAAACCTCTGTGTCTGTGGAGATCAGCCTAAAGTCGGGGTCTTCCTCGCGACGACATTTTCCAAGCAAGCTCCTATTGGAGGGATGAGCCCTGTGGATTCTTGAAGTCGTCGCGAGACTGGAGTTTGGATGTCATGTGACAAACGATGACGAGCTAACGTCGTGTCGGGGATGTCGGCGGCCAAGTGGATACGAAGAAATCGCAAAATCGTTTCTCCTGCGACAGAAGATTGGCACTCAATCGCGTCGTCGAAATGCATGACCAAGTTACTTCAACACTTACATTCACTGAACCACGTTGGGAATTTATTTCTTCTAGGCTTCATGCAATCGGCAGACCTACAGTTGTCGAAAACAATCTCGAGGAATAAACTCACGGTGAAGGGAATGTGTTATCCACATGGACCATACTACATGGGCATGAAATTGCGCGTTTAACTCGGAATTATTCAGAGTCGCTTTTATGTGTCACATTTGAATGAGATTATATTGAGATGTACCAGAACATGATCACATGTAATATATTGCCTCAAATAGATTTAAGAACTAATAAAATGATGTTAATGTACATAAGTTAATAATTTATCAATCAGTATATATTCTACTTATCATATGTCATTTCAAATGTTTGAAATGTAGAATTGTCTAACTCATAAATATTATAGATAATATTTTGAGATCTTGATCTAACTAGCGATTTTTAGTTCTATTATGAACGTAATTAAAATGAACAATAAAATGTTTTTTAAAATATTTTTATAATACTTATCTGGGATTCTCACTGTGAACATTTAAAATATACATATATTGTATCGATTTATATTGATACCAGAACATATCATCAATATCAAACAACTTGAATGTGAGATGTGTTTTTAGATACTTCTAGACGAAGCATATCATCTAAGAATTTATGTATTTCAAATTTCACTCAAACCCAAATAATGTCTTACGAACAAAATTAACTCAGAAAATTGTAGCAAACCTTTTTGAAAGGAACTTTAGTACTATCAAACTTTACTATGAAAGTATATCGAAGCTGCTTTTTCAGAAAGCCTTAAGTATGTTTGGACATCAATTACTATGTCTTTTATCACATTTACAAGATAATAATCGATGCATATGTTCCATCAATGATGTGAAATTGTAAATCATTTAGTTAAAAAACATAATCTCATTGGACGTTATGAACATTACAAACACACAATAACTAAAATCTAAACACACACAAAAAATTTCCATTCACATTCTTCTGTCAAAAGATAGTTAAAAATTGAAAAAACTAAGATTGAATTACTATAGTTATGTTGTAATATTATACACTGTAAGTTTTGTATTTTAGAAACTTCATGTTGGAATAAGAGTGAAACTGAAATAAAATTGTACTTAAATAGATATATTTTCTTGTATATTTCTAACACGTTAAATTTACAGCATTATTTTACCTTATCATAAATTTACACGTACAGTTATAATCACAATTTAACATATAAAATGAATTTTGAAAATGTTGATTATTCTTTCATATATAGAAAAGGAAACATATATCATATTCTTAAATATTGTAGAATTGAAATTCAAAAATTAAAAAATTACAATAATTATCTATGATCAAAAAATTATTTTGATAAATTTTATAAGATGGTGTTTTTAAATTCAAATTCACATATATATATATATATATATTTAAAAAAATTGATACATTTTTTTGAATAAAATGAATTTTATCTGTACACTTATATTATTTTCATTTTATAAAAATTAGATTTTATTTGATGATAAAACCAACATAAATTTAAGAACTTATATAATTAATGAGACATCATAACATAGCAAGAAAAATATTATTCGACTCAATTATAAAACTTATTTTCTAAAATTATATATTTTTTCATTAATCATATTGAGCTATAGTTTCAGGGAAGACTATATATATTGATTGATTGATTTATATATTTATTTATTTCACGATTATAAATAAATATTTCAAATTATGTGAAAATAAATTTATATTATTTTGAACATTGTTATAGATCAAAATACAGTGTAGTTAAAACTAGAATTACATGATGTAAAATATCTAAAGCATGGTGTATATCTATTTGTATATCATATGCATATTTATTTTTTAGTGTAATATTAAAAAATAAGATATATATTATCTATTTTTATTTAAAATTATATAAATTATATAAAAAATATAATAATCTAAAACATATTTATATCATGAAAAAAATTGTGCAGTTTGTCGAGTGCAATACATTCCAACTTAATTATACTAGTACCGTACATATAAACCAATCATTTGGAGTTTTTTTTTTGTAATATGATATCATATTAGCCTTTCACTAATTGATATGATATTTGTCATTTATTCTACAAGTGGTACTTAATATATATAAAAGTAGTTTTATGTAAAAGAAGAAGATGTCACTTGTAAGAATATTCATGTAACAATTTTTTATAAAAAATGGTTTTTATTCCTTTTTTTTTAATATATATGACTGATTGGAGTATTATTTTTTGAAATATTTGAAATCATTAAAATACTACCAATGTGTTAATTTTTTTATAAAACTGCTTCTGATGCGATTTAATTATTTTTATATTAAAAATAAGTATGTTATATAAAATTTTCAATTTCTTTCCTTGTATCATATTTCAAAGATTTTATTCTTTTGTTTAAAAAACATTCCAAGAAATACGTAACTTTGTTCTATATTATATTGAACAATTTTGATACAAAAGTAGTATCAAGAAATTTTAAACTGATGTCAAAAAAAATTTATTTGACAAAAGAATTGACTTATGCAATAACATATTTATGACAACATAATACATTCTTCACCTAACATGTATGAATGAACAAAGTAGTAATACAATTTTTGCTAAATTTTTTTAAAATTCAAATAAATATCGTTATATTTTTATGAAAATATATTTGAAAAAATAGTATTGCACTCTTAACTCTTTTTCAATCATTAGACTATTTTCAAAATCCTATGATTTTATGTATATTTTTACTGGAATGTAACACAAATTTTGCTATAACACCAATCATTCACGTAAAGTCTGCAAAGCTTATGTGTTTAAACAAGAAGACATATATATTTTTATTTTTTAATAAAAATGTAATATTCATATGAAAATATAATGAAACCCTTTTGATAGTTTACATCAATCTAATTATATATGTTATTTATTTTACATTTAATGCAGTTACAATAATATGCATATTTTATTTATTTTTGTTTGTTTAAGATGCTCGTTCAAATATATGATTTTTATTTGATTTTTCATTGCAACTTTGATTGATATAGATATGATGTCAATTAATTTAAAGTTGTATGTTTGATGATGTATTCAAGAATTTGAGTGAATATAAAATGTAATTTGATCATGTTGTGATTTGAATTGAATTCTATAATTATCTATAATTATTTTTCAATCAACTTGAACAAAATGATATGTAATTGATGTAAAAATAAAGATATTTCATGTAAAAAATTTATGTATCAACTTTTTCCAAATAATTTTAAAGCGTGATAAATTATTTAAAAAATTTCTCAAATCAATAATATGTTGTCATATATTTTCTTTACTGAATTATGTGATTTTATTTTAATAAAGTTATTTTTATTTAGTTCTTATTCACTGCTGCTTTGTTTCACTTCTAGCAATATGAAAAAAGAACTAAAACGTGATTTTTTGAGTGAGTATTCTTAACCGGATGTTTGCGATTCACGTTGGTTTCAAGAGATAGATTATAAGCAGCGATTAATCATAAAAAAAAACCTCTGATTTTAGAATATGATTGATTATTGATAATAACTTCCGTGACAGAATTCACAAATGAAGAGTTTGTATATGATTGTCATGATCATTTAATCTGAGTAAATCAAGTTTGATTCATCATGAGAGTCACAAAACTCAAAGAGATTAATTGATAAATCAAAACTGTAATTAGATCCAAAGTTATTTTTCTTATCTATTATGGTTGTGAAAAGAATGTTCTTGTATATATATCAAGCTACAATTTAATAGGTCTCCGCTATTTTGAAGTGTCATAATTTCTCTAGTCAATGTCAAAACAACAATAGAAAAAAAAAGCAATCGTTCAATTTGCTTAAGAAAAATTAAACATTCTTGTTTGTTTCATCTAAAAGTTCATCTCTGTTATGATTAAAATTGAAGTGTTTGACCTACTTTCATAGTGTTTAGGTAGAGATAATTCTTATAATTTCAGAAGTTTGGTTGACAATATTGACAACATCACATTTGTTACTTTATACAACCGTGTCCGTGAAGAATCTTAAGAGCAAATGACAAGAACGTAGACTTACACAGAGACACTTGTACTCGGGTATTTTATCTTACAAATTAAAAGATTGTCCACACTTTTCTAATTTCTTGATTATTTGAATTTTATACTATTTTGTATAAAATTGTAACTTCTTACTAAATGTTCTAAACATAATGTCTTCTTAGTAAAGTCAGTTGCAATAACAACCTTGTCAATACTCTGTAGCCATTATGATTCCAACTTTTTTTCCACATAAGACCTTTTGTTCCAGATCATGAGTCTCGTCTACCCAACATATTTCATTGTCTTTTATAGAAACAAGTAATATCATAGACTCTAATCAATTTTGCAACAGATTACATCATGCAAATTAAGTCACCTCAAATTTGTCCCATTGGCATCCATGGTTGAAACACATCAAGAGTTTGGCTTTGGCATGATTATTAAACTTTTGTAATCGAGTTGTACCAACATTGCAAAGATCTCATGTGAGAAAAAACTCAAAATGAAGTTCAAGCATAGTCGCAGATAAAGCGTACAAAATAAACCATGCTTGAATTCAACCTCATTGATATCATATATAATGTTTTATGATCATTATTTTTTTCATATTAAAAACTGTATTTTTGTAAAGAAATATAAAAATATAAAATCATATTATTAAGAATTTCTACAAATTATTTCTTCTTCAAATTCCTTGATTTTATTTTTCTATTAATGAATAAAAATTAATTTATTGAATATTAATTTTTCATACTCATTTCTAATGTTATAGATACATTTTTTCATTGCAATATAGATGATATGCAATGTGTGTGTAATTTTCTCAAACATAAAATAAAGTATAAATAAAAGTTGAATGCTTTATAGTCAACCATACAAGTTGGAATTATATTTTTTATAATTTCTTGCTGTCATGTAAATTATTTTTGTATTACGTACGTACATCAAGATAATCTAAACAATATCTTCACACTAGTTTTTTAATTGTGTTGAATACTCAAACAAATATAATAATCAAACAAATAGCATTTACATCAAAAGCAAGTAGTTCAATGCTACGGTACATATATGTACAAAAACATCTATATACAAAAATACTAATTTGTGTGACTAAACTATATTATTTAGCAAAAATCTAAATAGCTTAGCTAACTCATATCAAACTAACTAGTGTTAATTGAAAGCTGTAAGCGTAAAACTTGAGAATCATAAGTGAAAAACTCAAGCAAACAAACAAGACATCAACACGAGAGACATTAACGTATAACGTGATTCAAGGGCTAACCTATATTATTAATCCGCGAGAAATTCTAGACGGAAACCTCATACAAGACTACTCTTTAAACTAGAATTAATTAGTACTAAGCCGTAGTCATAACATGATAGAGAATCAATATACAGAGTAACCTAAAAGCCATATCTCCCTCTTAACTCATGTTAAGTAATCTTAGTAACCTCTCTAACGTATATTATTACTACGTGGAAAAATATAGACAAAATTTTAACACGAGATCACTTTTTAAATGAAAGTGAACTAAAATTAAACCGTAGCCATAACATGATAGAGTATTAATATATAGAGTAAACTAACAATCTACCCTTTAACTCGTGTTAAGGAATGTAAGTAACATATCTAACCTATATCATTACTACACGGAAATTTCTAGATGGAAACCTAACACTAGTTACTTCTTTAAACAAAAATTAACTACAAGTAAATTGTAGCCATAACACGATAGACAAGTTGCTTTGATACCAATTGTAAGCGTAAAATTTGAGAATCATAAATGACAAACTCAAGCCAACAAAGAAGTCATCAACACGAGAGACATAGATTCACGAGGGAAAAGCATTGTGATAATATATTGTGAATTCTATTTGGTAATACACATACCTTGGGTATATATATACCAAATCCCAGCGATCAATTTTAGCTATAAATAGTCAAACATGAGGTTACTCCTTAACTGGAATTAAGCTCATCAAAAGCTAATTAACTTCTATTAAGTTGACTTTTATTAGCATATATAGTGAAATAATATTTTCTTATGAAAAAAATGTTGTTGATGAAATATGTATTATATTGAACAGCTAAAATATAGATGTATATTATGAAAATAAGTCACATTAAGCATCCATTAACATAAACTACAATGTCTAAAAACATATGCATGTGTTAAACGTCAAAAAATTTCTCAATGTCAATTGTAAAAGCTTATAAAATAAAATAACTTTGTAAAAAAATCAAAATATTTCAATTTTATTGTAGAAAGTAAATCATTTTTACCAAATTCAAAAGTTGATGCAAATTGTATGACTAGATTGAGAAACAAATATGTTTTTTGACATACCGAACTTTTCTAATTGATTTATGAAGAACTGTAATAATATTTATTTTGCAGTAAAATAAGAAAAATGGTGATCAAAATCAGGTTCAAAAAATTATCATAAAAACAGACCAAAAAATATATTTTTAACAGTTGGATATATAAAAAAGATTTCATGATATGCTTTAATTCCATATAATTTTCATCAAATTAAATAAATTAATTATTGAATTTTATTTTGTGTGGTTCAATATATTTCTATGCAATATAGTGCAGTATTTAATTTACATTATTCAAAATCTAGCTATCAACTTTCATTATATTCAAACATATAAAAATCAAATCATAGAATATTATGTTACAAAATAATGTGGTAACAAACAAATAAACTTGTGTTCATTCCAAACCATACCAGATGCCAATCTGATTGCGAAGTTCATTTAGTTCAACACTAAGATGACAACAGCCCCTTGAAAAACCAATTAAAAACAGTCAGAACATAATTTGAGTGCAATTATTCACATGTATGTCTTGGTTTTTGAAATCAAGTGAAGTTGACATTTACTATTCTCACTAGTTATGTCTTGTAAAGCTATAACTGCACATATATATATATATATATATATATATATATATATGTGCAGTTATAGCATATACCGTACTTGCACAGATTCATTATGATATGACATATATTATATGTCATTTCAAAATGAATCTATCACTATCAAAAGATTATAAGAGTTTTGTTGTTATTTACAAAATGAATAAAAAAAATTTAATATATTCATCTACATACTGAATCACACTAAAGAAAAGATGAGAACAAAAAATACATTAGATACATACATTAGATGTGAAAAAAACTCATTGACAGAATTTTATTTAAATAAGAAATTGTAAGTTTTGATGTCACCTTCCGCGATGGTCAATTTCTATTCCAAAGTAACCCACAACCAAAATTTTAAGAGCATTTTCTAAACACCGGACAATACGGACATTTATAATCTCGAATTCTTCACGTCTTATTCTCTCTTCATTCTTCTACATATTTCGGCCAAGTCGTCCGCAGTTACATGCAATGTAATTGAAACTCGTGGAGGAAACACATTCGGAGAGTAATAAAGAAAGCAAGATACAAACACTGATATATTCACTTTTCAATGACAGATAGTCTTCCCATGACAATTATATTTTACATGTCAAACTCAATGGCTAATTATCATTGTATGAAGGATTCTCCGGGACAGGGCGGAGCATCTCGTTATACAATTATCGGAATGATCATTGATTCAGCGCATTTTGAGATGAACAAGATTTTGAGACGAAGAACTATGTTGAGGATCTTCTGCATGAATCTTTTAATTGGATTTGACATACTGTATACCTAAAGTCAACGTCAAGGCAAAGATAATGACTAGCCAGATGTTACTAAACTGGTTTGATCATTGTACGGCTTGATGTGGGTTTCATCCTGCTTGCTATATATTTTTTACCACTGAAGTCAACATAAAGGCAAAGATATGGGATTGTGATTTGGTCAGAGATAGGCATAATTGGAGCAGTAGCAGAGGATTTAAAAATCCCGCAGCGTGAATTGACCCACTTTAGATTATTCTACTACTGAGAAGCATATGCGTACAATATAGCTTGGAGAAGGATTAGAGGAGAAAATAACTAGAGCAGTAAAGGCACGGAAGGTACTCCATGAAGTTGAGCACGATCAATGGCTGATAGCAAATGCCTTGTATAGACTTTCACTCTTACTAAGATCATAAGCGGGTCATAATCTTATTGAAATTTCAAAGTTCCAACAACATATAAAGCATTTACCTCTCCATCGTTATATGTTAGGCTTGAAATGAGTATGAAGAATAAACTGGTCACTTTATCTTTGTCATCAGAGTAGTCCAACTTCATATCTTATCTGTACTGACGAGTCGGAATAGTAATCTAAAAAATAGTTCATTCTCATTTGCGCTTCATCAAACAAATTTTGGCATTGTGATCAGCTTGTTGGAACCTCTTCCGTAGGGAAAAGTTGGAAGATGTCTTAAAAATAATTCATATCTGATTGAGAACAAGGTATTTTGGTCTATAGATTTATACTCAAGATTTTGGTCCTTGATGTCTTTCTATAATTGGATGATGGACATATTTGATTTACAAATACAAACGTCATAGTACTGTCTTATGTGAGATGAAGGATTTGCCTTGGGAATAGAGGCATGATGCTGAATAGCTCCTCATCTCTGTTCCCTTGTGCAATTATGATAATCATTGTTGTATTATGAGATTTCGTATTCCCCAAGAATTGATCTTTATGTACGCATATATATTAGAACAGAAAACCTAACATTATCTCATTCATCTTGATATCTAAATGATGATCCTTCTCTGTATGTCAAAGTAGAATCTATAGGACTCTGTGTGACCTCAATTAATCTTCAATTTATAAAAAACGAATAAGAATATATTATACGTATCATGGTGGAGTGATTTCATGAAATGCTTCATCTGCAGAATGCAATGCAGAAAGATATGAAAATTGTGTGAGTCTGTTGACTCAGAAGCCCACACGCTAGCATTGGTAGTACTTCACACATTCTTCCACTCGATTCTGTAATTCCTACTCGACACAGAATATCAAAAGTGATTGACTGGAGTAAGGTGAAAGAAGAATTTGTCAGGAACCATTTAAAATACTTGAATAAGGTCTAAGATGGCCGAGTATCACTATGAATTTTTTTTCAGAGGACAAAGTCATGCCCTATGATCATGCGTTGAGTATGCGCCGTGAGAGCTTGAATAATTGTCGGACCGGTATACTCCAACACGGGCTCACACGCAAGCTTGCACAAGCAGGAGGAGAAGGAACCTACCGGTCGGTCGCGTGATACCACGACCAAGAACAAGAGTCAAGCAGTGTCAACATTCAAAGCCTTTGGGCCTGTTGGCCTGCAGGGCGAGAGCAGGTCGGCCACCTGTCAGCACGGGGGAGGGCTTGGAGCAAGGCCCTCCCCGCACCGAGACCTCCCCGCATTGACAAGAAGGTGTGTCAAGAAAAATAGCACCACCGATGCGACGACCCGCATCGAGTCGTGCATGGGGCTGCAAACGCCACAGTGCACGCATCTGATTCCTTCTAGCACATCGGGAGATCTTGAGCGATCGCTTCGTCTTCGAATTGCTTGCGCCGGCCCCGTGTTCAAAGCGTGAACAGTGAGGGAGTATGTGCGCCGAGACTCCGAGCGTCGACACGTCGCCTTCCAGGTTAAGCCGTTGGTTGACTCATGAGATGGGCGACTCTCCGAACATCGCTCTCGACGGGTCTCAATTTGCGGAACGGAGTGGCATGATCGCTCGGCCAAAGTCCTAAAAACTGGAAAAGCACACCAACAATCCACAAAAAGTTGGAATAAGGAATGACCCGTGCGTCCACCAGGAATCCAGGATGTTCGAGTTTCCTGACGACTCGACCTACAGGCTCGACTTGGTGATCACGAGCAGTGTTCAGAACCAACTCGCAGTCGGCTAATAATGGGGAAGAAAAAGGTATGGCCTATGTGGTTTGGACAATCACATTGCGTACCGTAGTGGACTCTTGCCTGCAGGCTCCCTGTGAATGAGGAACAGATCGGGTTGCGGTAGGCCCCACCCGCTGAAAAGCACAAAGAGGATCTGAAATCAGAGATCCCAAAGCACCCACCGAAGAGAGTGTGACCTACAAGGACGAAGAAATGTGATGAACAAGACCTTCTCTGAAATCATCAAAGCAGCGCTCGTTGGCCAGGACCTCCGAGGACGCCAATCACGACAACGGAGGTCCGGGTCCACCAACAGGCAATGCAATGCGACCTGTACGTAGCGATCCTCAGTTCCTTTCTTCCTTGCTTTCGATCTTCAAGTGGGGTCGTATCTGGCAATCGGTGCGAAATATCCAGCTCGCTAGGGAGGGCGCAACTCGGGGAGGTCGGTGCGATCGCGCTAGCAGGACGTACGGAACAGAGTGGCGTACAAGTTTGTCCTTGAATCTCTTAAAAGCATCGGTTCTGAATGTTCTGTTAGTTCGACGATTGGATGGGGACCTCGACAGGGAAGGGGACAGGGACACAGGAGCGACGCTCGCGAACGAAGCGGCCTCAGCGTGGAGAGGCTCCGGGGAACGGAGACAAACCAGAGTCGGGGTTGGTGATGGTAACCCTGGATATAGAATCATGACCCGTGCGATGGCTCAACAATTTGGTGAACATCAGGGCTCTTTGGTCCAATTTTGGATCCAGTAATCGGGCTTGCATGCAGTGTTGTTGAGCCTTTCCCACTTGCGCGATCTGTTTTATCTCACGCACGTTCCTTCCTTTCGCTTTCCCTTACCCATCCCCATCCCCATCCCCTTCGTTTCATCCAGCCTTGACTCCAAAGAACGCTCTCGTCGAAAGCTGCGGCCCTGCCCCGATCTCTCCGTGCATGTCCTTTCCTCTGCCAGTCTGGAGCTCGCATGGGCCTAGTAAGAGAGTAGACCATCACTGCAGCGCGCGAGGTTGGTAGGCAGGCAGAAAACGCAGAGTCGCTTTCGGCGAGAGGTCGGGCTTGCAACACAAGATTCAGCTGCCCGAAGGCCGCGCAGTAGAATGCCGCAGACTCTGCAGAGAATCATTCCGCGCTTTCGAAAGCGAGAAGTGGCAGTGGGGCTTCGGGCATTCGCTCGGATTTGGACGGCGGTGTGAGGCGTCGACCCCCTCGCCCTGCCCCTACCCCTGCCTCTGCCCCCAACGTAATTCTCTCTACCGTACCCCGGCGATCCCCGTCCGTCCGCAGCGGGAGGCTGGAGAGAGAGCAGGGCCAAGAATCGGCCGCATTAGCGACCGCGGTAGCTCTAACCTCTTAACCGCTGCGCAACGTTCGCAATGTAGTAGGCCGCGCGGACTGGATGGATGCGGAATCTGCGCGCGCGCTCAGGATGCGCTGCGCTGGTCATGCACCGGACTGTGCAGCTGCCGCTGAGAAGGGCCACGGCGAGAGATAGAGAGATAGAGAGATAGAGAGAGAGAGAGAGAGAGAGAGAGAGAGAGCCGCAGACAAGATCTGTCGAGTGCGAGAAGTGATTGTTTAATCGTGCGCGGAGGCGATTCGTGTGCTGCAGGGGCAAGCAAGTAGAGGCGAACGCGAGCTGGGGGGGAGAGAGATGAGGATGTAGAGTAGCGGCATCGGGAGCCCGAATTATTGGCGGTTCAAGAATCAAGATCCGGTTCCGAAAGCGAAAGAAGCGGAATAAGCTTCTACTCTTCTTGCGGCCATGGCGAGAGGAGGTCGGGGCGAGAGAGCGGGTCAGAGAGCTTGTCGTCGACTTGCCGTCTCGGTCGTTGCTTCTGTGAGCCTGCGATGGGGAATTCGTCGTGGCTGAAGCAGTAAGCGTGACGTGACGCGACGCTCGTGCTTGATTCATTCCTATTCGACGCTTACGAGCGTTGTCTTGGAGGAATTGCACGGAATCCGTCCCTCGTCATATGCTCGCGGAGCATCAGATCAGCTGATGTCTGCCTCCCTCGCCTCTCGCCTCGCTGCCTCTGTGCTCTTGGCCCCTCGCAACCCGCGATATCTTGCTTCCAACAGTTCTTTGTTGTCGCGCATTCTGCCTTCTCTACCTCCTGCAGGTACATCCTCGTCCTACCACTGCGATCGAGTTTTTGAACTATGATATGTTTGCTTTTTTAGAGAGAGAGAGAGAGAGAGAGAGAGAGAGAGAGAGAGAGAGAGAGAGAGAGAGAGAGAGAGAGAGAGAGAGAGAGAGAGAGAGAGAGAGAGAGAGAGAGAGAGAGAGAGAGAGAGAGATTGATTGATTGATTGATTGATTGATTTAGAATTGTCGCTTCTACACTGCTGTGTGTGTGGAAACCTCGCCGCTACCGGTAGCAGCCACGCAGCATACACGGTGATAAGGAGAGGGAAGATTCCATTGCCTGTGCTGGCCACAAGATACTTGTTCGTCGGAGATCCCCTCTCTTCATGACATCTGACTTTGTCGCGTTCCGTGTCTTAAATCTTAGATCACCTCAGCTGCACGTAGTCAGCCCAGGGCAGGGAGCGAGGGGAGCCGTATAAAAGGACGACGTTCGATCTTTGAATTTGATCTCGAACGAAGAGGATCCTGTTTCGGGGAGATCCCGACTTTGTAAGCTTCTTCATACTCGAGGTTCTCAATTAACAGGGTTGAGTGATTGAGCAATCGCTTGTGAGGAGACTCTGTTGTCGACGCAAGAGTACCAAAGAGGAAGAAATCGCGAGTTCAGGAACAAGCATATGACGCTATCTGAACAACGGGTCGAACTGTAACACGGTCAGCTTACAACTAGAAGCCGAAGCTATTCTCCCGGTTCTGGGTTTGGTGAATATCAACATAGAGAGGAATGCAGAATGTGAGCACGTCTTTGTGAGATTAGATGGTTTATGAGGCCATTCTGTGAGTGAGAATCCTTGAACCAAGAATTGTTTCTGTGTTCTGAGTACGGTTTAAGCACCAGCGGAGTCAGCATTCGTCGACAATGGGTTCTCTTTTCCTGTTATCGCCACCCTGCAGGGCTCTAGCCCATTCTCTTTTGTTGTGGCAATTATTAGTTCTGGCAAGCGCTGAAGGCCATGAGAATCTCATCCAAAACGGCAATTTTGAAGACGTAACAGGGTATTATCCGGCTGGCGTTGTGCTCAGAAGTGTAGAGATGAACCAGAATGCGGCCGTGAAGCAATGGACTGTCCAAGAAAGTGCGATAGAGATTATAAGCAGTAGGTTATGGCCTGCCTCCACGGCAGAATCTATGTATGCTGTTCATTTAAACAGTCCGCAAGGCCCCGGTGCAATACAGACCGAGGTTAACTCGAACCTCATCCCTGGTCAGACTTACCTACTGCTTTTTGACGTGGCTAGCACTTTTGGGGGCCCGTCCGTGAAGAGACTTGAGGTCAGTCTCGATTTTGGATATCCAGGTCCAAGGAATGCGATTTCGAAGTCATTTTCGTTCAATTTTCCAGATGGAAACGATCAGTCTAAGTACCTGATCTGGGAGCCTACCCGGGCTTGGTTCAAATTTAGGGGTGTAGGGAACGGTGCAATTGTGAGGTTTCGGAGTCAAACTCCAGGATCTCGCGGATTAATTGTGGATAACATAAAGTTGCTCCCAACATCGTGTGGTGGTACTGAATGTGCTCCAGCCGATATGTTTGTGGACTCAGGCAACAGCGGAGACCGGGATGAGTCGGCCGGAAAATCTTCACTGGGTCTTTTGAAGGATAGAGTGATGATGACTACCGAAACTTGGTTCCGTCAGAGGTTTCTCAGACGTGCTGATTGGTGAAATTCTCTGTTGGTCTTATTATGGTGTTTAACGAGTATTTGCTGAGCAGCAGCACATTCCCGTCCTGGAGATGTGACTGCAGCTAATTTTTTGGCCATGAAATGGAGCCAGGACATACATGCAGAACTACAGGACGTAAGATTTGTTCTCAGCAGAAACGGCACTACGATCTGCTTCGTTCAGGTGACGTTCTTGCGGAACTTGACCGCAGACGGTTCACCGTGTGGTTCTCACGTTTCAGCGTAGCTTAACATCACAGGACATACTTCGTCCTCCTGGGAAGTCTTTATCGAACTTGTGACTGTGCGACTGGTTTCCATACGGAGTCTACAGAACATGAACTATGAACACTGTTTGTAGCAGCAGGCAATCGCCCAAATCTAGGGCAGTTATAAATGAGCACTATGAGGTTGCAGAAGTGACAAGTGTGAGTTGCAAATGACACAACTGAGAGCCTTAATTTTGCAGTGATAGATAGAGAGGTCAGATTATAAGCGAGGAATCACACCTGTCCAAGACTGGGCCCGAATATTTGACTTCTTGAATTGTTTGAACAACAGAAAAGTATTTTCGATCCTGATGCTTCAATCGGTTGTAATTTGTGTACATATATGCTAAGAAAACGTTGTTTCCTGCTTAGGAGACGTGTTCCACTAAGAAAGTGGCTGGTCGACTAGGTACTGTGAATGGATGTGTTGCCTATGGAGTTGACAAGCTCTTTGGAGAACAACGCAATGGACTTTTTTTATTGGAACAGGTCTGCAGAGGTAACCAATAGTCTGCCATGTTTATGTTTTCGTCCTTTTCTCCACCTCTCAACGCCTTTTGAGTTGAGAGGTGAAGAAAATATAAAAAATGCAGTGTCGTGTTCAGCTCTATTATTTACCTGATGCTGTCAAATTGGAGCTTACTCGTTGTACGTTATGCGATTTCATGTTCTTTCAAATAGAGTTAGTATTTTGCCACTGCATCCGACAAACATGCCTGTATTGTCATTTCTTTTAATCTGTAAGTTAGAATTTAGTATACGGTAGAGAGAACATGCCACATCAGAGGTCAAACCTTCTGTTAGTATGGTTCAACACGCAGTTCATGTTGCATGCGTGCACAGCAAGATTAAACTATCATATCGCAGAGTAGAAATTGTTCCTCTCCACCTGTCACCCCCTACTTGAGAATTTTGGAATTGTAATCTCGCTCCGCATCCATAGTGAAAAGGTTCGTCACCCTCTTATCTCATAGCCACTGCTTTCGGTAGCAATTTCCTCTCTAGCATTTAATTCCAGGTGCTTGCAGATTTCTCTTGTTCATGTGTAGGATCGGGGGTATAAGGTCGCAAGGATATGACAGGTAGGAGACGCGCTCTCTTTCTTTGTCTGTGTGCGCATTATTCTCTCGTAGTAATATACCAAGGATATATGACTGTCAGTATGCTGCGTCGGTCTCTATCCTAAACTCTTGCAATCATGATAGCCTCTAGCACACCATTAATATGGCTGATAGAACAATGACCGGTAATAGCCCGGGTTTATAAGTGCCCGAAATAGAGTAAAGTTCAGGCAGAAGTCATGAACGAATTGATGGATTGTACGTGGCCTGTATATACTTGTTCTGAACCTGGTCTGGCACACCAATTTCGAAAGAGTAGTGTTTGAGATATATGGCATGTCGTACACATAGCAGAGTAGAGGAAACAGAATTCCACGACCAAATTTTGCACGTACGTGCACCAACAAATATGAGGGCTTTGAAGGCCGTTGCACTTCAAATCGCATATTCACCAAGCTGAGAAGTGTAGCAGGTCGATTTGTACAATCGTTTGTATTGTGTTCTGTCGGAAGTCGGGCAACCTTCTGGTTCCGGTATGTTTTGAGGTCTCGGTTTCATCTCAATCGGAGGTACATTTATACGGGATCTCAAGCCTACCATAACGCAGAGATTTTGGGATGTCATCTTCACTCGTTACAACGCCGTGCATGCCCTTTCCGGTTTCGACTGATTTCCATGACCGGTCATCAATTACTGAAATCCTCGATTTTTTGAACGATGTTTCTCACTCACTCCAGAATGCGCATGCTTTACGAGGTGTCTGGTAGACGGCGCTATGACTGCACCCTGCTACGTCAATCGGATCTAAGCTTCAATGAGCACTCCAGTGCATGGCAAAAATCAACTCCGTGGCGGACTCCTACGCAGTCTCAACGCGGAGGACAATACTCAAGTCCAAAGCGCTACAATAACTACACAGATAGACAGCCAAATGGCGGTGCAAGGATGCCTCGCGGCCCCTACCACTGCCCTGCTTGCGAGCACAGAGTACACTCCTCGCTGAGAATACGCACCCACCTTGGCTTGCCGGTATATGTTCACGTTGTCCAGCAAGGGCCCGAGGTCCCCTTGAATTTTGCTGGAGAAGGTAAGATACACCTGCGTCTCTCTGGCCACGAATTCCAGCTTCTCAGTTCTCCAGCCGATGCTGAATTGCGAGAAGCCAGTGCCATCGATGTTGATGGACTTGGAGGCCACCGAGTCACCGGATTCCACCCCCGACACGTCGAGCAGCAGCACGCCCTTGACCGGCAGAGTGGAGTCCGGGTTCGCGGCCGAGTCGTAGAGAATGGTGTACGTTTGACCGACGAGCAAAGTGACCTTGCCCGAGACGATGGTGCCGCTGAGGCCGTCGGCGTTCATGTCCAGGAGGTAGAAGCTCTCGTCGGTCGAGCTCTGCCATCGCTCGTTGCCCGACCACTTGATGGCTCCGGCCGTGACAGCCCAATTGGTGATGATGGAGCTGGGCGCCTTCACCACGTTGTAGAAGGTGATGTCGGAGCGCACCAGGCCCGGCGGCTGCAGGCGATCGAAGCTGCCGTTGTCCAGCAGATTGACCAGCCGCACGTTGATGTTGTCGATCAGACACCCGAAGGAGCCCGGCGTCAGGCTCTCGAAGACGATGGTCGTGCTCTCGCCGGTGCCCACGAAGACGAACGACACCTTCTCCCAGATGATGGACGATCTTTGCGCTTCCGGATTGCTCACATTGAACCACGGAATGGGGTCTCCTGATTTCTGGTCGTTCACCAGGATCCGGACAGCCACGGATTTGGTCAGAGGACCACCGTCGGGATTGTCCGCGATGTCGAACGTCAAATTGTACGTAGCACCCCATCGAGGTGTGGCCAGAGGCGTTGTTTTGATCACTCCTGGACCCAACCAGCAATTAAGGTGCATCATGAAATTCCCGGGCTCCCATGCAGGCGCTATGTACTCCAATCCATTGACGATCTGAACTCCTCCCGACACCACGGAGAAGAACGGGACCATGTTCATCGTGCCGTCGACCAAAACGTCCATCTGAGGAAACAGACCCCAGTTGAAAAACTCGATCTCGAAGTCGCCATTGAGCACCAGGTTGGCGGGATCTCCAACAGCAACGTCGGAGCTGAGCAGCATTGCTGCCAGCAGCAGCAGCAGCAACAACGATGTGGGTGCCCACCCCCACCCTCTCATACTTGGAATGCCCAACTGTGGTGGTCGTTATTTTCAATCCGAGCGCCCTGCCTCTTCCTGCTCCCTTGACCGTGTCTTCCTCTGCTGCCTCGTTCACTGACTCTTGGGTCAGGAAGGCAGACATAATTGCCGATGGAATGTTCCTGTCAGTAACAGACCTTTGATTGGAGCCAGCCTTCCACTCTATCGCTGTTCTCTCGTCCGACTCATTGTCATTCACGCCCTCCCTCGATAGCGGTATTTCTCTTGCAACCTGCCAACATCCGATCAGTATTTCTCTCGGAATCGAATGCTTTCGAGCATCCATGAAATTTAGGGCTCCTCCTCTTCATTTTCTTAGCATCAACCTCGTGCTTGAGCTGTCATTTATCTGCGGTGGTTTTGCTTGAAATTTCGCAGTTTTCATATTACAAAGCTCCAGGATCAGGTGGCAGAAGAATGTTGCCAGTTTTTCCATGGTCATGGCGAGAACCACGTGTGTGATGAGGTATTAGTGTGTAATTGTCGGATCGATGGGACTTTTCAACGGAACCGAATTCAGGTTGAGAGGAAGAGGGAAGGGAAAATTTCTATGCCCATGTGAGTTCTAATGGAAGAAGCGGACTGATTTAGGCCGAGGATTTCCCGAGGAGGATGAGACAGAATGATGAGGATTGTACCTGATTGTCCTTCACCGTGGAGAAGTGGACACCAGAGGCTGCAAAATATATTGTATCGACGGACGGATGCGCACGAATTTCGCCTTCAGGTCGATATGTCGACCCTGTTCTAACATATTATATCCCAAAAGTGAACGAGCCTCGAATTCATTTTTACGAGAAACCGCCAAAGAAGGGAGGTCTCGATGAGAAGAACGAATTGCAGAATGTAACCGCCATCACGAGTTTCGGTACAATGGCAGATGGTGTAAAATTGGGGCAAATGAGGAGCAACGAGTCATGATTTCGTCTTGATGATCGCGTCCTCAGTGATATTCCTTCCTCCCGAATCGGGCAAATCATACACGCCCTTTTGATCTCTTTATCTAACAAAAGAAGCGAATTTCGCAGGAAAAGTCGAAAGTCGAAGATCCCCCCTTTCCTTGGCAACAATCATGCCTCACTGACTCGCGAGTGTGCAAGAAGGTGGTAGCAAGCAAGCAAGCAAGCACGAAAGCGAGCTCCCTCCCAACTGCCGCTCTTCTTTAGGTTCAGTCGCTCGATTCGGCCGGCCGAAGCTCGCGGCTCGCTGCGTGACACTCCCCCTCCCCAGCCTTACCTTTCTTCCACCGTTACGAGCTCAGCGATAATGGCTTCCCCTCTCGCTCTCTCTCTCTCCCTGTCTGTGTCTCTGGCTTAAACGGCAAGCCTCGAAGCAGTTACGAACTCCATGGGACCGATCCCATGCGCGACGCATTGCACATACAAATCGTTGCTCGCTTCGCTTAACTGTGAATTGAATTGTTAGGGTTCCACCATGTGCGCACCGCAGCAGGCAGGCATCCCGCAGGGACGACCGGCCGACCGGGGCTCGTTGGTAGACGTTGGTAGGCGCGGGGAGGGGAAGGTCATCATCCCGTTAAAAGAGAGATGCCCAATTTGTAGGAAGGAAAGGAGTAAGGTGTCCACACATTTCTCGCCCTCCTCGTTCCGCATTCCTCCGTTAGGGCTTTTGTGAGCTCGCTTTTGATTCTCATGCAAAGTCGGAACCAGCTCGAGCTTTCTCTCGCTCTCGATCGAACGCAAAGGCTCGTTCGCTCGCTCGCTCGCTCGCTCACGAGTGCTGCCGAAAAGGGTGCTCGATGGGAGTTTCAGTTGTCATCCATGAGTGTTTTCGAGGGTCGGAATCATCAACCAACCAACCAACTCATGTCGAGCTCGGATGAGCTTGGTGATCTGCGTAAGTCAACGTGTCGAGCACGAGCACGGCCTCACGAGATGTGGTTGCTACGTTTCGTCCTCTCTATCCTCCCGTGACTCACGCATTCACTCACTCGCTCGACGGGAGTTTGTCCCTTTTCCTCGCTTCACGATGCACATCTTTCATGACCGCAGTTTCCAGGAAACTCTGTCTTTCCGAACTAGGGTTCGATGATGCAAATCTCGGCCCCGATCAGTACGCCCGCTCTTGCGGTAGCCAGTACGATGCGGCAGGAGTAGAGTGTGAGCGTAGAGAGAGCTCGTCGTCCAAACACTCACTCTGTCCGCCTTTCATGGTCTGGGAGTTCGGTCGCACTAGCAAACAAAATCGGACTCGTCAAAAATCTTCCTCCTCTGACAGACGAGGACGAGCTCCCGAGCCCACGAGCCTGCGTCTGGAACGCATGTCTTTCACGCCGTGCTGCTGTATGTAACAGGACGGCCTCGGTGCTCGGCAGACCGAGAAAAACAATGGGGGCGTCACCCACAGAGCTGGTCTGGTGTGACAGATTTCTGAGATGGGGTAAAACGAGAGAGAGCAGCTCTTGATGCGCGAGTCGATCAGATGGACTCGGAGACTGTGTGTCTGTCAGACAAGGGGCCAGCGCGATGTCGAAGGGCAGCCGAAGTTTGTTCGTTACTAGGCGCAGGAGACAACGAGACAACGAGACAAGGAACGTTATCTGGGACGGGAGTCGAAGGAGGAAGATAATAAGATGCAAGCAGAACAAAATCTATGCTTCCCGATATGGTGATCTTGTAACGAGGTGCACCGGTTCCCAGGTTGAGCAGAAAGAGGGGCGACAGGGTCGGTGGGGGGGTCGTGGATTACATAGTGGGGAGTTTGAGTCAGGGTTTGCTTCGAGCAGGAGGGACAGAAAGCGCAGTTTGTTGCAATGTCCTCGTGCTTAGCGCTCGCGAAACATGAAAAGTCGTTACCCAGTGCACTTTCATCTTCAATGTCCTCGTGCTTGGCGCAAAGCCTGCTAAAGCGGCTCTCTCTTTCCTCCGTTCCAAGGCCTGGTCAGGGGAACCGGAGCACGAGGCGGACGACAACCTGCTGAACAAAGTGGACGAGATTTGGTGTTCGCTCTCGTGCAAGTAACGTTCGCACAGATGTCGCCTGCCGAGCTCCAGTGACGGCACTGGCATTATATATTACAGTAATCTCGTCCCCCCCCCTCCCCCACTTTGTGGCTCGCCCTTGTCATCCTCGGCTCCTCCAAAACTCTTGGTAACAACTTTGTTCCTTCTCTTCTCTTCCCTTCCTTTCGAAAAACGTCAAGAACCTTGAACTTGGGAACTGCACACCGTTCTCCCTCCCTCCCTCCCTTCCTCTCGACCTCGTACACGAAGCTACATGTAGTGATCTTCTGACAGGGTGCAACAGAGCTTTAAAGGTCCCGGATATCTTCTACTGTCCACGCCCAAAGCAAACAGAAAACCTCACATGAGACGAGCGAGCAGCATGTGCGCACCAGCCTTGTAGAGCTACGGCCTCTCCGAGTCTAACACTGTTATAGAATAGGAGCCGAGAGGTGCTTCTACTGCTGCAAAGGCTTCGGGCTTCTCTCTCATCGAGGGAGGCCTGTTAGATCACAGCACCTGTTTTAACTTCCTAACTGTCACAGCGAGCGAGCGAGCGAGCCAGCCAGCCCGACCAGGTCCCATGACCATGACTGTACATTTTTGTGAAAGCGAGCACTAAAGACTAAAGCTTCGGCTCTAGGAAGGCGTTGAACTACCTCGGACCCAGAGTCGGACGGGCAGTGGAGGGTTCGAAGGAGGGAGTCAGTCAGTCACACACATAACTCCCAACGAGCACCTCTTATGGTGAAGAAGCAAAAGGGCCCCTCTTATGGTGATGCAGCGCATTCAATTCGCCATAAAGCTGAGCCATGGCTTGGATCCAGCCATTGTGCACCATGTGAGTTAAGCCCACCGTTCAAGGCTGCATCTGAGCCAGCTAAAGTACAATTCTGTCCTGAGCTGGCTTGCTTACCGCCTCCATGAATGAATGAATGCCTGCTTGCTATAACAGCAACTCATCCATGCCATGGCCTACGCTCTCGTTCTGGTTCTGCAAGAGGCGCCTGCCGCTGGGTCATATCGCATCGTGTAAAGTAGTTTGACCTCCCTCCCGATAACAGAACACCCAAGAGGCTGCTAGCTACGAGCCTTTTCTCGTAGACACATGGCTTTTCGGAAAATATACGACGACGTTGCGACCAGTGAAGCCGTGAAGCTCAAAAGTTGCGCGTGCCTTTTTCTCCTCCTCAATGTGCATGCACGGTCCCCAGCGTCGTTGCAGCTCAAAAGCTCAGAGCCGGGTGACCAGCAATTTTTTCGAGGACGACATGTTGTCCCGTCTCCTTTTCGTTTTTGGTATCTTCTCTTCCATCTCTCTCGTTCCAGTGCTCACAGATGCACATCTAATCTCCATTCTGTTCATGGACCTTAATACATCTGGGCCTTAATTTTCTGACCTCCGAGAGCTTCTTATGGCAGCTGTCGTCTATTCCTTATCCAGTGAAATCAGATGCGTAATTTGGCACCGTTCGTAAAGATTAGAGCTCAGCTCTCCACGCAGCTCAGCGGTTTCTTCTTCATCTGCTTACGATCGTATTTAATTCTATACAGTACACCGAAAAACCTGTCAACTACGTGATTGTTTAACTCTCTCTCCTCGGCCTCTTACTTGTACTCTCTGTGATTGGCTTGTATCTATTGCTATGCGTTTCTACTCCACACTCTTTCTGATTCGCAGGGACGTGCTTCGGGTCCGATGCTTGGCTTTGGGGAGTCTTTTTATCTGCCCAGTAAGAGTGTTGCTTTCGACTTGGCCAGTTGGATGCAAGATCTCGAGGATGGATGTTGCATCCCAAATTATGACCACTCGGGGCTTCTCGGATGAACTTTGGGCTCGAAGACTGTGTAGATATGACAGATAGATTTAACAGTGCTTGACGCAAAGTTAACCCTAACTCGACTATTGTACTGAATAGAACCTTAAGTTAGAACAATGTTAACGCTGCCCTTAATGGAAAGAGCCTCAGTACAAAAAGCACCGACTAAAAGCCAAGACGAATGTGACGGTGAGATGTTAAAAATGAAACTTCAAGAAAAATGACAGTTTAGGTGAGAGATTTGCTTGATTGGACCCCATCCAAAGTTAAATTGCTTGATGTGATCCGTCAAGTTTCAATTTACTCGATGGGATCTTATGGACGGTGAGCCATCTCTGAGTTCTAGTACGGGTATGATCTTGTAAGAATATGTAGCACCTCAGACTATAACACCGCGTCAGAAAGCTGATAGATCATTCTAATATATTTTCGCGACATCCACGCTGTGAGATCTCAAGTCCAATAGAATTGGGTGCTTGAACCTAAACTGTTTAGAAGGCAGCGCTAGATCACCGCGATCTAGCAAGCATACAAACTTAACCTTCCTTCTCCTGACTCCAGCAGCGGACCGGGCTATTTTTTCATCTTCCCCATCTTACCGTCCCATTCTTCCCAAGAAAGTGGTTTAGCAAGTTAGACTCTACGCAGCGATGCGAAGGAAGAAACGAAGTATCACGTGCCGAAAGTAACACGAAGTGTGATTCACGCACCGTCGTCTGGTCATACTAGAACAGTATGACGTGGACCGTCGGTGGGGTCCACGTGAAACTTGATGGGTCTCATCAAGCAATTTACCTTTGGATGGGGTCCCATCAAGCAAATATCTCCAGTTTAGGTTCGTGGACAAAGTGGAAAGTTCAAAAATTAATCATCTGAAAATGAAAACATTCGTGATGTAAGTCACGCGGCAATTAACATATCTTGTTGTGAATTGTGGTGTTTGTGTCTTTGGCAAGGGTAGATCAAGTTGGCTCTCAATTATCTTGTCTCTACGTTTCTGAAACCCTAAACGTAATTTTGGCCCAAAATTAATTCGATAGTTGGGCTGATTAGAATTCATCTACCCACTCTAATTTGCAACCTCTGTAAGCAATATGATGCTAAATATCTATCATTATGGACGACCTAGCATTTAGGAGAGATTTGCTTGATGAGACCCCATCAGAACGGTGACTGCTTGATGGGACCCAATATGTTCCATTTTACCCGATGGGACCACTCCGATGGCAGTTAAGTCCACCGTCACTGATGTTTTACTGCGAGTTCTTGTAATTGCTTTCAATCCGGATTAGGAAAGCACTGTAGCTCTTTGTTGGAAAGTGACTTCTCCTTGCAGGCACTTCACTGACCAAAATATGCAACTTACATGACTTCGGCCAAGAATTTTAGAAAACAAAGTAAGTAGTAAGTAGATTACGCCCATACATTATAACTGTAAAATCATTTTGGGATGTGAGAAATTGTGCTCTTGCACGATGAAGATTGGGAGCCATGGAAAATCTAACTAACTTAAATTTGGGAAGAATTTATTTTTTCATTGAAGTGGAAACAAAGCTGTTACAAGAACATAATTCACGGTGACCATCGGGTAAAATGGAACGTATTGGGTCCCATCAAGCAGTCAGCGTTCTGATTGGAGTCCCATCAAGCAAATTTTTCTAGCATTTAGTCATCAAGTTGGCTATCGGTTGACCTTTCGTGAGTGCAGTTTCAGGAGATACAAACATTCCACATGAATCCAAGTACTAAACTCTTGGTAGTTTCAATATATAGGTCAGTTGCACTCGTAGAGGTCCTACTAGTATGAAAACAATCCACATATAAAACAAGCGAGGCTTCTCCGAGCGTTTTGCACTTAGGTGCAGTCCATTGCATATGTATAGTAATCATATATGATGTGCTGAAATCCTGGCACACTAAACCCTCTTTATGCTAACGATGATAAAAACAAGAACTAGATGTGATAAGAAGGATCTATGTATTCTTTGTCTCAAATGCGGGGGTCCTAAATGGTGGAGATATATAATAATTTCGTCCCATTTATCTCACCGGAAATTTCCACTTCTTTGCACTAATTAGAAAAGTAGTTGGAATATATATATATATATATATATGATGTGATGTGATGTGAGAGGATCTAATGATATGAGATTATGATTATAAATGAATATGTAATTAATACATATAAAAATTAGTCGGTTCAAAATCAAAAACAATTTAAAGCTTGGATTGAAACTTCGATTATGTCAAAAAATAAATATATAAATTTTCAATCGAAGTTTTTAAATTTCAGTGACATCAAAACTAATTTTTCTATGTGTTCCAAAATTTCTATGTGTTTTAAAATATTTTTTTTGAAAAATTTCTTTCAATCACTTTCATGTAAAATTCTAAATATTGAAAAAGTGAGAAGTGTGAAATTTTATTTTATTATATAAAAATTCCTATTTTCTAGGTTATTCCAAGTTGATACAGATTTAAATGAGATAAGATTAGTCATAATATTATTTTTACTAAATATTAATATAAAGTCTTAAATTCAAACATGATATCCATTTTGATCAGAATAAATGAAACTAAATCTAAATCAATGATAATCTTGATGCAAAACTCAATTATAATCAAAATTACTAGCAATGTGAATAATTCATAACTATAAAAGTTTTTTATCCATATCTTCACTTCTATATTTCAAGTATTGAAAGTGATTAAATTTCTTTATGTTTTTTGGAATTTGTAAGTAATTTTTGGAAAATTAAGCAATTTATTTATAATTTTTTTTATTCACTTTTCACCTGGAAATTCAGGTAAATTTACAGATATAAATTTATATTTATATTTTTTAAATTTTTTTTGGAACTAGAAGCAATATAGAGATGTAAAACAGATTTTATATCACTATTCATCTCAAAACAACTAAAAAGTATTTACAGTATATTACTTAAGCACATGTACTGCAATATAGAACATATTGAATACCATATGATTCTTACATATATTTAGATAGTAAGCATTTTTAATATTCAGTCTTTCAATTATTTTTTCAAATTGACAAATCGATTCAACCAAGCTTTTCCATAATAAAATAAAATATTTATGATAATTATTTTACTTATGATTAATTCTTATCAAGTACAAGAGGTCCTATTTTTTGATGATAGCCATACTTCAATCGGAATCAATAAATCATACATATACTTGAAAAAATTTAGAAAATTATATGAAGCAAAAAGTGCGGATGCAAAGCGTAATTGAATTCAGCATTTCAAAAAGGCATGTTTTCCATTTTTTTCTAAAAAGAGATTCTGCTAGATGAATATGCAATACACAAAAGTGAAAAAATTAAGAGACCAACTAAAGGACTTCTTTGACCAAAAACTGAAACTGAAAAGCTATGGAAACATAAGCAGTACTCTCTACAACCATCCCTGGTTTTTTGTACTTCGCCTTCACTAATTTCCAAAGAAAACAGGTCATGTCAACAATGAAAAAGATATGAAAAAAGAGTTTGTTCATGAAGATTTAGTAACTTTGAGCTGGTTACTGATTCAAAAATATAGATAGTTACACAGTATTTGCAAATAATCATCGAACAGTTCAATGGAATCTACCTCATATTCGGAACGAAAATGAGGATGAGTTCCACACTCACGCAAGTTAAGTATACCATTTTCATTTATACCATAAAGATTATGATCTCTCATATCTTCGGAGAAACCGCACTAGGCCTGTTCCTTCCACGATTCTTCAATTTCAACTTATTTATATATCTACAGGAGAAAACATAGAGGAATCTTCCACACATCGGGAGTAAATATACAAATATAAAAATACAAAAATAAATATTTATGAATGATTTTTTTAAAGTATTTCATACCGTTCAGAAAGTGAGAAAGAAAATCATGTAGGTCTGACGGTTGATGCTTTTATAATTTTTTTTTATAAAATGCTAAAAGTAAAGAAACAGTAGTATCTTTATTCCACAGCAGATGAAGAAAGTATCATTGCAAGCATCTAGGTACTTACAGTATCATCTGAGCAGAGTTGTAGGTACATCCATCGAATCAGTACATTGCATTCTACTACATGTGAGCTTGTGTGTCCATTACCTTTTCCCTATCCTTTCGATCGGGGAGAAAATTGAAGTAGACACACATTTCCCTTCGAATTGTCTAACTCCGGATGAATGCACTTAACCAGAAAATCGTGGGAGGTGGGCAAATACACTGAGTGTCGTTTAAAAGACCGAAAACCATGTGCCACATGAGACTGATTAAAACATTTCCGATTTAATACAAACGGATCGTTTCCTTGAGAGAAGTAAAATATAAAGACAAGTTTTGAGCATATTTCGACGCCACTCGTACCCACCGCACGTCGCCACATTACCGATCTCCTCGTCTCAAGAAGGAGATTTTGCTCTAAGTCGACCTTGTACACCAAAAATCATAATTCCAAGTTTTATATACGGAAGTGCATTGGTTAGCACGGTTTATAATATCAGCCCATGTTTTATAATACAAAATTTAGTTGGCCTCTGAAATGTCTCATGATAAAATTGCCTTCTAAATATATACTTAATTTTTTTTATTTAATCTAAGATCATAAATTGTTATTGGATTTAAAAAAAACATTTTGCAAAAAAAGGTACGGGAAGGACGAGCAATACAAGCTCTAGATCAAACAACATCGACGGACTATCGTTCTGGAGAATAAAAACGTTAATATCGTTAAGGCTAGGGATTCCGCATCAAATCAGCAGAGAAGCGTAATCCGTGAACCGTGATATTTTTTTCCCCACCACAAATGCCGCAGCCAGAGACTAAAATCTACACCATTTCAACACAACCAACAAATTTACGGAATTATTCGATGTGCACTGTGACCTCCGGAACGAGTAGGCACACCCTTGTGGGTGTCAGTACAGTAATACATTTCCGATGTTAACTTAACCACCGGGTTACACACATGGCAGTTTTCTCAGGTCAGAGCAAAATTAACGCTAACGGAGGTATAATTATTACAAACTATTTTCGGGGCTCTGAAACTGTCCACTCATCCTGTACTCGGTAGAACAATGCCGACTGTGATGTGAAGGAAATCGCTGACTGGATATGGCCGGTTTTGACCCGGAGATTACTGAATTCGAAAATCCCACAGTACAGGACTGATTCCACCGAATCATATTTAGATAATTTCCGTACACCTTATTTAAGCACTTATCACTTTTACTTTAATTAGTGATAATTTCGAAGCCAAATCCGATTGTCTGGACAGGTAGCGAGTTGATTAAAGAGAATCACTTCGAGTTCAAAGTTCCGAGAGTTACTACGGGATGAATGAATTGTCACCTCACGAAGTATGATTAATCTGATCGCCCGTGCAATTAAATATGCGTGGTGGCCGCTAATTCGACTTCCCCGTCGGAATTGGGAACTTCAATCGCCGATGTACATCGGACGTGGTTGAGCTGAGTCGGGGCTGTCTCGGGAGATCGATCGGTTGGGTTCGAACCTCAGAGGGCGGTCGGCCTTGCTCGTCGGTCGGAACGATGGGTTAGTGTGGTGACCGGTGGGGAAGATGGCTGACGCGAAGGGTTGGGGACACATAAGCATGCGAGTTGAGTTAGGCCTCAGTTCAGGCTGGAATTGTGTTGGGGAACGATGGACAGCAGAGGAGCGGGGTTTGGGGTTGGGGTTGGGGGTGGGGGAGGGATTCGGAGGATGTCGAGAAGCGCACTCCACCGGAAGCCCTTGCTGGAACGCTGGGGGGGGGTGGGGGAGAGATGGGCGTCGGTCAGGGCGGTAGGATGCGGGCGATCGAGCGCAGAGACCAGAGAACGCTCTCGTAGTTATCTCCAGCACGGACTCATGCTTAGCGATAATGGCACGAGATTCCAAGACAAGATGCTCAGCCGGCTTCCGGAGCAAGAAAGGCCAGATAAGTCCACGATATGGGACAATGCAGAGGTCTCGAGGTTCTAAACCAGCGCAAGAATCGTCGATAATGTTAGGTGCGAATCTGGATAAATATTAGCCCCCGAGTGATGGCGATAATATGCTGTTGGGACTCGAGCTGCGGAAGGGGGGATTCCTGCATGGACCGACGACCAAATGTCTAAACTTGGGCGGATAGGCCGGCCAGCCAGCCAGCCAGCGGGCCAACCACGGCCGTGGTTAAGCGGGGGGTTAATTAGGGGCCTGTTAATGGGCGAACCCAACCCCGTCGGCAGTCCCGGTCTCCGGGAGGTGCTGTTTCCAGAGAGCGGGGCTTAGTTTTATTCCCGGGGCCGAAATTATGTGGCAGGAGGGGCTTATTGAATCACCAAAGGGCCGGCAAATATCGCTCGCGAGCCTGGACCCGCTAGCCCTAGCTTGCTATTTCGGAGTGGCGATGAGAAAATGTTCCTATTTCAGGTGTACGATGAATTCGAGCAGAGCAGAGCAGGGCAGGGCAGGGCAGGCCCGGCAGATGGATGCGAGCCTCGGATGTCGCGGCACAGTGCGCACACTCGCGCGCGCGCTCGCTCGCTCGCTCAAGCAGAAAAGTTCAGAGTCGCAGAGAGCTCGCTAACTACCGACAACATCGAATTGGGGAGAACATATTCGATTTCGAGACTTGAGAGAGTGACTGACAGGGCCGACCTCGGCCCCCCTCCTCCGAAGGCCGGGGCATGATCGGTCTTGTGCAACAGCGCCATCGCGAGCTTCGCGGGCGATTCAAAAGCGAGCCCAGCCTCGGTTGTGTGCCTGCTGCCGAAGCCGAAGACGGACCCCTTCGCTGCTTCGGGGCTTTGCCTTCCCCAACGGTGCCAGCGCCGGCTTGTGCTGCTCCGATGCCCGCGCTCCCGGCCGCCGAAGCCTCCCTCCCTCCCTCCTTCGACTGACTGGACGTAAGCTCCAAGTTCCAGGTCTCAAGCCCCAGGCCCAAGCCCCAGCCCCAAAGCCCCGAGTCCACGGTCTGCTTTGACCGCCCTGCGGCCTCCGCCCGCAAGCAAGCTCGATGCACATGCGGCCACGGCGATGGTTTCTCAGCAGAAGACGGGATCAAGGGCGGGCGCAAAATTAGGACGGGGATCGGGGTTTCTGCGGAGAAGATTTGTTGGAATTCGAGAGGGGAAAAGGGGCCGAAGGCGGATAAAATATAATATCGCGGCCTCGGCGAGGACATGCGGCGGTCCAAACGACAACAGTCGTGTGTCTCTCATGAGATCGCAGGGCACCGTTGCTGTTTATGGTGAGTGGCGCTCGGGGACTATTTTGACCCCCACGTGGATCAGGCTTCGAGCCCCGGAGAGGTACACATCACATCAGAACAGAACAGAGACCAGAGCGCACTCCACTCTGCTCTGCTCGGCTCTGAGCTGCGGCAGTGCAGCATCATCGTCTGTCCGTCTGTGTGTCTGGCTGCCGCTAATTCTTCGACGGGAAGTGGTGGATCTGGCGTCGATTGTGCGCTCGCTCGACTCGAGCGGCGAGTGAGAGCTTGGGAGGGATGCCGGGGCAGGCAGGTCGCAGCGGTTCGGGGGGATTGATGCCCTAGGGGGTCGGGGCTGACGACAAAGGGACCGGGGGATGAGCGGGGGGCTCGCACATGTGCGCGGCCTCATCGATGACGCAGGAGGGCTGCACAACTGCGGAATTCACTCGAAATTCTTACGCTGCGGGAATGCGCGCGCGGTCAACAAAGCTGCCACGGGGGGGAGTCACTGGATGCCGGGAGGGCCACGCGTGCGTCAAGAACCTCGCGCCGAACGAAGCCCCCAGCATCGCCATGGCAAGGCACTGCTCCACTGGAATTAGCTTGCTTTGATGCCCGCAAGATGCAGCCCCAGGACGCGAGCGACGCTGGAAACGCCCGGCTCTCGAAATCCATGTGAAGCAAACAAATTTCCCATGTGAGCCGAGAATGTCACATACGACAGCCGCGTGCTAGACGACATCCTCCATGTTCGAGCTTGTCTTCGCCGGAGGGCCCCCCCGCGGGCATAAAAAGCTATTTCTTGGAGGTTCAAGAAACCATAGCTTATTCATTTGGGCCCCCGCCCGGGGCTAGCTTTAGGCCCCACTGCTCCCGAGCCCCCGAGGAGCCCCAGACGCGACAAGCTCGACGAGCCTCGGCGCAGGACGGGCAACAACAAGGATTCGACAAGCGGCACGCTCACAGTGCTCTCGCTTGCTCCTCTGCCGCTGCTGCTGCTGTGCCTTCGACAGGCCAGGCGGGCGCCCGCCCTTGTTTCATTGCGGGGGCAAGGCGCACTTGTGCAGGGTCTTCCTCTCAAATGTTGGCCATGTATGCCATGCCATGCAAGCCCACGGAATGAATGGGCAAGGCAAAGCAAAGCAAAGCAAAGGAATGGAATGGAATAAGCCGCTCAGGTGACAGCTAAAGGGTGCAATTTGACGCTGTTGCAGCCCCGCAAGTGCAGTTCAGATTTGCCAACCGGCGAGCACGTAATGCAGACCAGATACACCTCCCCCCGCTTGTTTTCCATCGCATCAACATCAACATGGGGCTACGTTCTATCCGAGAAAGTTCCTGAGAACGCTTGGGCTTGGGCTTGGGCTTGGGGGAGAGAGAATGTCATGAATTGTAGAGAATATGCTGGAGATCGGCGACTGCCGTGTCTCGCCCTTCAGATGTGGTCGCCAAGCCTCAGCCTGATTTCGAGGACAAGACATGTTCTAAATAGAAACACGAGTTGAACGCCTAGTCTGAAGCCCTTGCCGTGAAAGATCGCTGACTCTCTGTCTCTGTCTCGTGGAATCAACCCCTTGTCTTCCGCTCGGGTAGATATCAGTTGTACACTCCCCCATCTCCCCTCTCTCGTGGATAGTAGTTGCGTCGCTTCGCTCGTCATGCCTCGTCACCTCCAGAACCGCAGTGACTTTTTTTCCCCCACCTCCATGCTCCTTCTCCTCCACTTGCACAGCTCTCTCACTCTTTCACTTTCACTCTTCTCTCGTCGCCCACTCGCACTCGCGTTCTGCTGCAAAGACATCATTATGAGAAAGTGAGCCGTATCATGATTGAGCAAGCGTTAACTGAATATACCAGAATCTTCGGGTGGTATGCTTTTTCGGGGCGCAAAACAAAGGCCCTTGTAGACAACACCGCAGCCGATATGGAGGCCTGGCAAAAGATCCCAGTCTTCGCAGCACCCAAATAAATGTTCAAAGTCGAGCTCTGTCTGAACTATTTATGCAAGCATATCAAGTTGTCAAATTAGGCCTAATTCTCGCTGCCGAGTCATATACGATTTGATACAAGACTGACGTCGTCAGCCCCCTCCACATCAGATCTCACACTTGAATCCTGCAAGGCGCGCAGAGTGCGTCCAAGTGGGAGACCCGGTCCGAACAATGGCACGGCCTCGTCCGAGCGTACAGCGGAGAGAGGACTTTTAGCCCATGCCGCTCCTTCCCCCGGACCACGAGCGGCACGGCAGCCCTTGGTTAGCCCCTGGTTAGCCCCTGGTTAGCCCCGTAGGGGCTTCCCTTGACCCACCCCCTGGGTTGCCTAACCCCCGGACGGGTCCGAATTTCGCCGCGGACATTCTTTCTTTCTTTCTTTCGTGGTAAGCGAAAGGGAAAGCTTCGTTTCACAAGTCTCTGGATCGATCAATGGGGGACGTTATGCGATGGAAGCGGGAGGCCGGGGGCTGGGGGCCGGCCCTCGATGCGGGCATTAGCATGACCAGGGATGAACGGGGCATGAGTGGGGGAGGGGGGATAAAATAAAAGCGGGGGGCAGCAGGCAGGCACCAAATCCATAAAGAACGAGGCAACATATCTCGCAGCAGCCTTATTACGGGACGTACGCCGCATGGTGCTAAGAAGCGCCTACAGTGCGAGGAGGTCTGGACGAGTCGCAGGGCGCTGAGGATGGTTGAGATCTCGGCCCCGACAGAATCTCAACCACGTAGTCGCAGGTCAGGAGTTCACATGGCGAAGAAAAGACGAGGCGCTCTCCAGAGCAAATTTACTGTGCGGTCTCGTTACACGTGCGCGCGAGCGCGGATCTCCGCAATGCCAAATTGGACATTCTCAGCAGATAGCCACGAAGAAGACAGCCAACGTGGCCTCGCGGAACACGTTCCGGCCGTGTCCCACTATGTTTGACTTCGAACTGCAGCAAGTGACCACGCCTGCTCGCAGAGGCATGACCATGAACGCCCAACAACTTAATGCTCGCTCCAAAATTTATGAGTTTACCATTGATGGAAAGGGGGCAGGCCTGGGGCTGCCTTCCAGGCTATAGTTGGAGCGGTCTTTATATTGCGGCATCCAATGGCCCCGCCCATCCCCATTTCGCTTTTCCGTCGCCCCACCCCTGCCCCTGCCCCTGCCCCCTTCCAGTCGGACGGAGCAGGCCCATCCGCCTCCCGAGCCCATTAGCCCCATTAGCACGCGATAAACCGTTACCGCGCGGGGCTTGTCATTAAGCCCAATCCGGACAGCAGTCGGATGAAACGCGTCGCCTTCTCGTCGCAGAGCATGGCTCCGTGAGGCTTTCGGTGCTGGGCTTGCAGTCGTGACTCGTATCACGCGCAGTGGGATGGTCGGTGAGGCACGCTTCGGCGGACGGGAACAGTGGATGGATAGATACCAGTCGCATCATCGGCGATCAGCAGGCGCGCGCGGGCGGGCCGCGGGGGGTGGGGGGAGAGAGGGGCAACGACAAGCACCCGAGGTCATGGGGGGCTGGGGCTGGGGCTGGCTGGCTGGCTGGCTGGGCGTGGACGGGGGGAAGGTAAATGCTCCTCTTGACCCGATTTGAATAACTGCGACGGGATGGGACGAGACGGTATGGGATTCGATGCAACGCACACACAAGCGGACATGCAGGGGCTGGGATTCTGGGACAATTGCAGCAGCAGCAGCAAAGGGGCTTGCTTGCTGTCTGGCTGGCTGGCTTGCTGTTGGGCGGATTTGGCTAGCCGAGGGCTCGGTATGGAAGAGCTCGGAGGAAGGACATGTCCATTTCCGAGGAGAAGGAAAAGAGGACAGCGGGCAGCGTCGTTGCTCGGCTGGACGGATTTCAGCTGCTTGAGCAGCGCAGAGGAGAATCTTGCGGGAATCAGTTCCCGGTTGGAATGATGGTCAGGTTCAGTGGGGCTATTTATTGTGCAGGTGTTGATAGTAAATTTTAATCATGATGATCACTGTGACTGGACTTTGGCTCACGTTCCTAAATGGTACTGGTTCCGGACGTACGCCATTATGATGGCTACGGGCCATCGGGGGAAGGATTTTGTTCTCTAGCTAGGACCGATTTTCTGATCGCTTTCGTAAGAGAGTAGGCACAACGTATTAAATGTTCAAGTGCACATACAGTAGTCAATCCAGCAAGTTGATACCCCCTCCTTCCCTCGATGCCATGACACATGCAGCAAGTCGGATTTAAGCACAGCTGCGCTGCGCACAACTCAACTCGACCCGACTGCGTGCGAGTGTGTAAGCAAGAGGGAGGAAATATCCGTCGCTTATCTGATTCGCTTATCACACGAAATAAAAGCCCCCTGTACTCCCCTGTACGCTCCACGGACTTCCGCTCCGTCCCACCCTACCTCCTACTCGACCCTCCCCCCCCCTCCCTGCCAGGCACATGATATTCGTGAGTAGTCCACCTCTCGTACCACACTCTCTCATAGATGCACGAAGTACTAGCCCACATGCATCACTGCCAATCTCGAAGCCCCTCCTCCGTTCTCGAACATGTTGTGATTTAGCATTTTAGTGTATTCTGCAAGGAGTTGGTCCCCGGTCGGTACTTTTATCCGTTGAGCAGATAGACAGCCCCTGTTCTTCTTCTTCTTCTTCACCCTCCTCCTCCTCCTCCCCCTTCCCTCCCTCCTCCTCCTCCTCGACCCAGACCCAGATAATATCTACTTCTCTCTTTCTCTAAAGTGGGCCATATGGACCAATGGCCCATACATGTCATCTCGGATCGTCCTTCTCAGACAGACAAATGTGGTGCTACGTGAGAAGCCTTAACTTGACTTGCCTTGATCTTCCTTTGCCTTGCCTTCCCTCCCCTGACTTCCGGGGGTTTAAACCCTAAAGTGTAGATTGAATTTGTCCCAGGGGAGGAGTTCGGTGGCAAGGGGGACCCTACGACATGTACGGGACTGTTATTGAAGAAACTGAGCATGTGCTCTGGGTACGATTTGCATGAGTACAGTGATAGCATTTTGGCCAACAGTCTCGCAGTCCAGGACAACGCGTCGGTCATTCTCATGTGCCTTCTTCGCCATGTACAGCAGACCCACATCCACAACTTGGTTTCTATACCCAATCCGCAACTGTGGCTTGTGAGAGAAACCGGGAAATCTAGTGTGCGCTCTCTGATCACACCTCAATCTCTACATATGCTCAGAGCAAAATCTGGAAATGCGCTCGGTTCGCTTCCTCTCATACACCAACCGTTGGTTAACTTGGGAGCAAAACCTGGAAATCTACACCATCTCCGTAGGCACACCGGCCATCTGCACTCGGCAATGCCACCTGCAAGGCCACTGTGCCCGCGCAAGAACCTCCGTAATCAACGATGTGAACTGTAAATTGGATAAGCTCAACTGTTAGTACCGATATGCACTGCCAATTCTGCTACCGACCTCAAGAGCACAGTGGTCGAGCCTCGGAGCCCAAACATGTGTCACTGCATCAAGCTGCCGATGGTTATCACATACAGAGCATTAGACTGCCTGCCAGTGCTCGGACATCCACGTAAGACAACGCTCTCGGGCCTCCATATTTAGATTTGCTCATCCCTTGCGGCCAGCTTCTTCACACAGCGAGGGATCACCAGCTCGGGATCTCTTCGTTCGATGAAGGAGCAAACGAAGTGCGAGGTTTATGTGCGAACTCTTGGTTCGACCACTAGACCAGTGACGAGTTTGTGCATGGGAATTCATCTCAATGAGATGTGCATGTTCCGACCTACAGTACCAGCAGTCTCTGTCACGAAATAAATGCCACATGGGTTGTTGAGACAACTCTTTGGAGAATTTCACGCATCGATCAATTACACAGTCAGTGAGGCAGGCAGGCAGGCGCTGCATTTTGTCTTGCAGGAGCTCTCGTTAGTTCAGGCCCGGTTGTGGCATCATCTCTCCTCCTCTCAAATATTTTAGTGCATTGAACGCAGAGAGACAGCTAGACCAACATGACCGGCCTCCTATCTCTCTCTCCCTCTCTCGTTCGACTAACTCAGTTGCGACACAATGCATTGCAGTCAAGGGCTTGCGGACCGGGTCTTCAGCCTTGGTGCCTTGTGCTCGAGACAAGTAACCTCGCCTCCCATACATTCACGCCTGCTCGGACACGTGTGCTGCACTGTTGCTTATGCCGCAATATCCTTGTGTTGTTTCCACACACACAATGTCGAATTCACGAGCTCAATCCCTCACAATGATTACTCGCACCCACACCGATTTTCCGATCATAACGAGGTTATAACATTCAGTAATGTTCCAGTGTAATCCGTCCACTGCAAGGTGCTGAAGCATTACTTTGGTCGTATAGTCTTCCATCCGGATGTAAGCTTCCTTCCAAGTGTGATTGCTTGTATGAAAGCTGGCATGGTCCTATCAGAAAGAATGTGTCAATCATAAAGGTGCAAGATGAATGTTTGTTTCCTAGGGAGCGAGCTGGCGTTCGACACTTGCTTTGAAGGTCTCGTTTAGAGCATTTAATGTACATGTGGCGAGACAAGTTTTCGAATCACGAGACAAAAGCATTGAGATAACAAAGAAGAGACCAAACTGAAGAAGGGCACAAAAACTGTTTCTTATGAATTGAACGCTGCCAAGAAGTGCAAGCATACTCTTCAGTGGGCTCTGGAAATTGCCCACAAGAAAGTTTCCAGCCATTCACCCAGCACCCCAAACACACACGGCCATGTACGTTGCAAGCACAGCTCAGATTCGATGGGCCGATGGGCACCACCATTGACGACTATCAGAAAGAATTGAGCAACAATTTCGTCAAGACTCGGCTCGTTCCAGAGATGGAAAATGAGAAGTGTTCAACCAGGCGAAGAGCGACTCGAGAGCAAGGGCATCCGTTCCAGTGAACACCTCAAACGAAAATGGGTCCAATTAAAAACATTCGACTGACAGTCTCCCTCATTGAAGAAGATCCATTCATGCACAACACAATTCATCGAGAAGGGCGAAGGCTGTGCAGGTGGGTAAGAAAGAGGTGAATTTTCACAAGGTGTGTTATAATACAGAGTGGTACATTACTGAATCAAGGTCATCATATACTCGCAAGAGCCTAGCTAGACTTTGAAGGAGATTCATTCTCCTCGACCTACAAAAACTTGTGTGATGAAGATTTGCTTTCGGCTAGGAATTATTGGAGCCGAACTCGCGCTGGGAGAGGAGCTCCCAGAATTGGCTCCATGGTATTCAAAACCGTGACGTATCGTTGGCGCAGCGACCAGGAACAGAGGGCGGCCGGCGCAGGAGCAGCCGTAAGCCGAGAGCCGGGGCGAAAAGAATAAGAGTGAGATGATCTCCCCCGCGAGTGGACGGCGCCGAGAGCCGCAGGTGTGTTGCATGCGGGACGGCAGCAGAGGTGCACCATGGCGGACCGGCGAATTCCACGTTCAGCTCTCGCGCTCGCGAGCGTGGCGTCAGAATGTGGAGAAGGAGTCGCGAATGGAAGGGGATGTACACGCTTACGAGGCCGAGAACTCGGGCATGCGGGCTTGCTGCGCGTCGAGGGCGCTGGCGAGCGCCTGCATGGATTGCACCTGCATCTGCAGGAACATGACGAAATCGGCCGTCTCATCCAGCAGCGACGAGGTGTCCATGTTGGAGCCGCCGGGCACGAGTCTTTGCAAGGCCACGAATCGGCTCTCGAGGTCCTGATCCTGTTCGACGCTCTCGGCGACCTTGAGCGATCGCGAGGGCCTGCTGCGGGGCCGCGCCAGCGATTTCACCTTGCGCAGCACGGGCTTGGGCTTCCAGGCGCATCTCAGCAGGCGCCTCTTGCTCTTGTTCCTCAGCGCCAGCTTCTTGAGAATCGCCTGCCTGCTCGCTTCCAGATAGCATTCGTGATTTCTGAAGCAATTTTCCCTGTCTCCCTTGCGCAGCGTGCGCCCGGCCAAGTTCCTTCTACCCGCTAATCTTTTCCTCTGCACGAATAAGTTCCCGTAACTGCGCATCAACCTGCTGCTGGCGCTCTCCGTCCTCTCGGGCGGGCAGCCGCACTCGCCAGTGTGGTGATTGGACGAGGTCGATTCGGCCGGGCTCGCGCAGGGCTCGGAGCCTCGCGATTGCCTCTCCTCGCAGGCGGGTTGCACGGCCTGGATGGACGAGGAGGAGGTGGCGGCCAGCTTCTGGCTCAGGGCGTCGCTCCACGAGGCTCCGCTGCCGCTGATGGCCAGCGACGCATCGGCCGCGAATTGAATTGCTTTGAAACGATCCGAGACCGTGGACAGATCGGCCGACAGGTTGACGATGTTGTAGGCAGGGAGGAACGACTTCAGAAATGACGCAGAGTAATCCGAGCCGTCGTGGATGGACGTTTGCAGCGTAATTCCACTACTGTCACAAAGAACGTGATCCATTGTGGCAAAGTCCGCGCAATTCGGCGCTCAAAAATCTCTCCAAGCCTTACGCCTGCCTGCTACGACCGAGCTCTTCTCAACCGACCTACTCGGCTCTCGAGAAACTCTCGCAACCAAAACTCTACAAGCTCTCGTTGCCTTGGCCTCGTTTCCTTCCGATCACTCTCGAATTAAGACTATCGCACGATAAGCCCCCGCGTCAATTTCGTCGTCGCGCTCCTCTCAGGCAGCGCTTCCACGGCAGCACCGAATCGGCTTCTCCCTCGAGGGAGACGGATCGGATAAATTGCACAAGGGGGTAGCAGACGCCCAATCCTGTCAGTGGTCGTATGCGTGAGGCGAGAGAGTGTGTGTGCTCTCGAGCGAGGGAGTGCGGGAGGCAGTGAGGGCTACGAAGTGGGCGAGTGTTTGTTGTGAGCGACTGGGCTTATGGAGCAACAGGTATACCCGTAGAGGGGGAGAGAGAGAGAGAGAGAGAGAGAGAGAGAGAGAGGGCTCAGGGTGCTTAGAGCGACTGAGTAATAGCGGGCTACTAACCTCTGGGAGGGCCTCTGGCTCACTATAACCCTTTTCGCTTGGCACGCTCTGGAGCATGAGCAGGAGGCACGCAGACGGGGGCTGGGGGAGGAGGAGGGGGGAGACTGGGAGAGAGAGAGGAGAGCGGAGGTGGAGGAGGAGCTTGTCAGCAACTGACTTTGAACTGGAAGCCTGACTTCAAGCCCTTTGAAGCAACATGAATCGCCGGGCACGAGAGGAAGGTGCTTCCAAGAGCCACTAGACTCCAAATGCTGATCTTAGACATAGGGTTGAAGATAACGGTGACTTTGGTGGTGTTGAGCATCCCTTTTGAGACATCGCGACGTAAGCCGAACCAGTGTCTGACCAGCGAGTGCCAGGCGAAGGAATGACAGAAGAAGAAGCTAGCAGATCAGAGCCCCAAGCGCAGGCCCGGGCGAGCTTTACTTGTTACTGTTGTAAGTTGCCACAACGGCAACCAGAATCGGAAAGGGGGCAAAAGCAGGCCCCAGCCCCGTAAAGTAAAATTCCGGGCGCGGAGGAAGCGAGCGCGCGTTGCGTTGCAGCCAGGAGAGAAGCGCGAACGTTAGACTGACTGACGAACTGACCGCCCGCCTGACAGACAACGGAGGCTAGCTAGAGCGGCAGGGGGGCAGGGCCAGGGCCAGGGGCAGCAGCAGAAGCCTACGATGGCAAGCGCGAGCGAGCTCAAGTCCAAGGGAGCTAGCGTAGTGTGTGTGTGGGGGTGGGGGTTAGAGTAGGATGCTACTGCGCTCGCGCTTGCCACCGTGGGGCTCAACCGGGTGCTGGTCGTCTGGGCCATAACGGGTCGCGGGGCGAGCCCGGCGGTACAGGCATTGGCGCGTATTCCTCGGGTCGAGTGCCGAGCGGCGTCACCCGGCCGACGGAGCGGGCTCCCTTCCCTGGGCCATGGCCTCCCGCCCCGTCTTAGCCCCAGGCCTGGTCCCTAGCGCGTGATGATGAGTCGACACAGACACATGCATGCTCTCCCACTCCGCACCCTTCTCCCTGCCCCTGCCCCTGCCCCCAAAAGGTCACATCCAAAATACGACACCGGCCACAGAGAGCGAGCGAGACCGCGTTCGCTCCCTCGCTCGCCTGCCTAGTAACCACGCTCCGGTGCCCCCCTTTCCCGATTGGGCTGCCACAGATAAAAAAGCAAAGGGCCTGCTCCTGGCAGTTACTAGATCGGCCAACAACCCGTTCCCCCATAGATTCACCCGCACCCGCTCGACTGCACCCCCTATCCCCGCAACAAACCCCAGTAACAACTGACCGAGACGAGTACAATCGGCCCAGCGGATCAGCCCTAGCCTCCTACCGTAGGCTCTCCCCTCTTACAGTACTCGGCTGACGTGAAATTGTAAAGTATGCAGACCATATCGATCACTCACCGCGCCTGCTCGTGTGTCACATGATTTTAGAGCTCTGAGCTGAGCTGAGCTGAACTGCATTTCAAATCGTCCCAGCGTGATGCCATTCTTTTTAGTCCTCCAGAAGCTGCAGAGTTTTAACCCTTCACTTCAGGTGCCCGCATTAAACTTACATTTGCCTCTCATCTACTGTAATCCTCTATTTCAGCTACCTTCATTCACGTTCGACATTCGTTCGAATTTCTGTGAACTCTTTGCGATGTCATTTTCCTCGGTGAATCCAGTCCTCCCTCCCTCCCTCCCTCCCTCCCTCTCTCTGTGTCTTTGCCCCTCCTGTCCACTTCCTAGCCTACTAGACTTGTAGTAACTCTGTGTGACTGGGCTGCAGTGTGACATAAATTTTCCCAACTTCCGTCACGGTGGTAGTGGATGACGGATTTTGGTTGCTTTTCAGAGTGGGAGATCATTCTTGGTCTCCGAATTTAGCCTTGATCGCTTGTTCTCTTGGCCGAAAACACTAAAAGTGCACACACACTTTCAAAATACTCATTCAGCCAGGTCCCACCATAATGATCAGTGTTGTATAATACCTGTCATTCCAGAGTGAATTAAAAGAGGCGTCTCATATTTCTGCTTTGTAAGGATAAAAATAATGGAGAAATATGCAAAAGTAAGAAGAAATTGGGGTGGAATCAATTTACTAATTATTTCTGACATTCGATCTTTTGAGATCGGAAACTTAAATCGCTGTAAACTTTCAAAAGATTGGTTCTTTCGATTTACATTGACTTGCGCTCCCGGTCGCACAGGGCGCGGATGTCAGAGGAAAAATCATTCGTCGAGATTGGGATTGTGATGGAACACACATGGAAATCATCATATGTTTCAAATAAATGAAAACTTTCTCAGACATTTGTGAATAAAGTCTACTCCGGCACTGGAGAGGAATAAATAATTCGACATGGAAAGAAAATGTCATTCACCGACGGACACTGATTCGCGCTCCGAAGACGACGACGATTCATTTCGCGGAACCACCTCGTGCCAGGGAAATGCTCGGCAGCGGGCCGAGACGGGCATGTGACGCACCGCAAGGGCACGGATGCTTTCGCCGCTGCATTAAGCGCGGTTGTCACTCCGAATTGACGAAAGCGCACTGGAAAACGTGGCAACCTGCGAGGGCTGCGAGCCTCGTTAAAGTCCGCCCTGACAGGGCCGTCCTGCCGGCTGCGGATTAATTAACTGTATGGCAAGGCAGACCAGCATCCTGGCCAGGAACCGGACGAGACGACTGGGGGCTTAAGTGCCCCGAAAGCGGGGAACTGAGCTTGTCCGAGGTGTCGCGCGCGGCTGGTCTAGCTGTAAATGGCGGAGGTCTGGCAGAGATGGCAGCAGCGGAGAAACTCCTCGGCCTTGTCTGGGACTTGCCCCTTAATTGGCCCTGAATTGGCCCACCCCCCACCCCCCGGCGGCCTTGGCCCTTCCCCGCACAGCTCTTTCTAGCCCCTAACGGATATCCGAGACATTGACCCTTCCGCTACTTTGACCACTAGCGCGCCCCCGCGCCCGCCCGCCTTCCTGCTTGCCGGCACAGTTCGCCGGCACCAGCCATTGTTAGCAGATCTCTACCGGGGGGCTAGGACCACTGCCACTTGCGCTTACGACAGCTGGATGCACTATATCGCCAATTTAGCGCATCCAAATATCCCGATTAAGCCCCGCGTTTAGTTACTCGCGAAGGAGCACCGCTGTACCGGACTGTAACTCTGCCGCGCGGGGGTGAAGGCGCTTGTCCCTATCGCGAGGGGGGGCTCGCTCTCGAGAGTCGAGTCTCGGATCGTTCGCTGCTGCGATCGCGATTCGGTACGTCCCGAGAAGCACCACGTCGACCGAACAGGCACAGGTCTGTCGGGGACGGGGGCTAGTGCGTACGAACGAACGCAGAGTGCCAAATCCGTAGACATTAAGGTTACCACCCTTCCGAACCTACCGCAGGGTTGGATTGGATTAGAATGGACTGTACGTCACGTTCTCGAGCTCAGCGAAATTTTCACATGTTATCACGTTGGATCTTTTGCTGCGCTACGGCTCGTCAAGGCACCACGTCGATGGGTGCGATCTGGCCGCATAGATCCTCCGAGGTCGACTCGGGTCTGGTTTGGCGGAACTCGCGTCGGGTTGGGTGGGTCATCAATTGACCGGCCAGGCCCTGGACTGTAGCCACCGCGGGCGGTTCTCGCCCCCAAAACCTCCTCCTCCCAGGCCCCAGGCCCCAGGCCCGCAGCCCTACTGCTCCCCCCGCGTCAGTGCCGACGGGAGCGTCTTCGGTCGCGTTACATGTTCCGCGATCGGATCTTTTGCTGCGCTACGGCTCGCGAAGAAACCACGTCGACGTCTGCGACCTGGCCTGGCCGTCGAGGCGGAGGTGCCAATTTTGGAGTCGGCGAGTTCGCAGGGGCCTGTATTTTCTCCCCATTTGTTTACTGCCCCGCCTGTCTCTTGCTATTCCCTGCCCTGCCCTGCCCTGCCCTGCTAGGCCCTGCCCTGTCCCTCGGGGGCTCGCCAACCCCCTCCCTCCCCTCCCTCCACTCCTCTCCGTTAGTTAACGATCCAGAGGTTGACCGCGATCATGTTCTCGATCGGATCTTTTGCCGCTCCACGGCTTGCGGCAGAACCACGTTGATCGTCGCGATCCGGCGCGCGTTCCAGTGTGACGAAGGTGGCTGCACATTGAGTGCTTGGTCGAACTGTCTCGGGCCTCTCCGGGGCTTGTGATGCGATGCGTCCTTCCAAGATCCCGCTGCTCTTCAATCTCGTTACATGTTCGCGCATCGGATCTTTTGCGAGCGGAACTACCACATTCGCCGTTAACTATTGCCCCTGGCTGCATCTGCCACCATTGCCAATTTTGGTCCGGGCTTCGTCTGCGCTACAGTTCACGGGGTCGATGCCCGACTGAAGCCAAATTTGGGGGTTGCTACCGGCCCCCGGATGCGAGTGATAGCTCACGATTCTATTATTTTATGCGATCTCCGGCCCTCCATGGCATTAAAACCGTCCGTTAATCGTCCTGGCAGCCCCTTATCATGTTATCGCCTCGGATCTTTTGCTCCGCTCCTGCTAGTTAAAGCACTGAGCTGTGTTGTCCAGCGCTGGGGGTTGTCTATTCTTCTAGCCCCCTAGCGGTCCCCATTTATGATGGGGCTACTCTAGCGACTCGACCCCTTCTTGCAAATGCCAATCATGGGATCGAAACCCTCCTCCCTTACTAAATGCTCGACCCCCACCCCCGCTGAACAAGCCCCGGCGGGGTAGTGAGTGATCGCTAGCGGCTCCTTATCTCTAATCTATCGGCACTACGACGCACCGGGGGTAGTTCCGCCATAACCTCCAGCCCCCGCAGTCATGGGGCCGTCCGTGCTTTCGAACAGGTGACCGGACTCGAGGTGGTGCTACTCACTCACGCAGGCCCTCACTCGTTTTCTGGCCCTGCCACAAATCTTTCGAATCGGGCATGGCTGGATTACCGTGTCCGTGATGCCGTGTCGGGGAGAAGGATCCAGAGAGCAGAATCTCAATGGAGTACGCGATCTCGCATTCTCCAGCTACTCTCTCATTCCTTCCATGCAAGCCCCAAGCCCCTCGCTCTACTCTATCCCGGCCTCGAGGCATCCGATGAGCCCGTTTACCATGTTCCGCCTCCGGAGCAGAGAACCACGTCGAGGGCGTCATGTGCCCCTGCGTCGGACGGGGTTGCAGGAACCACGCAGTCCTGCGACTGGAGGCAACGTTCGAATCTGCCCCAGCCCCCTGCCTCCCGCTGAGGCCCGGGCATGGCAACGGACCTGGTCACCGGCGACGCCCCGGGGCAACCGGTCTTAGAAAGGCGGAAGACGGGGTAGAGTCGCTCCGTGGGAGCCTCGGGGGCTCCTGCCTGGGAGCCGAAATGACACTCGGAGGCTAGAGGAGGACGACGGAGCGCGACCCGGCGGTGGCTGAGCTCCGTGAGGGCGGTGGGAGAGTCTGCGCGCACGAACGGCGTGACGACCTATTCGGGGGGGCTAGGCCGAGACGCGACGCATGTAGCGTGTAGGGCGGAACATGGAAGCACATGCTGATCGTCGGGGCCTCGGATCTGCCGTCTGGCCTAACCGCAGGCCCACGATGGTGCGGTTCGAGACGGAGGGCTGCCGGGGTTATCAGTCAGCGACAAATCGGTGGCTTCGACGGTACCGAAGTCGGCGACGTGGCCGACACCGTGCCGGAGGCTTGCCGGTACGGGTTCTGAACGTCCCGGCGGGAGAGCGGCAGAGGCTGGCCGAGCCGGAGGACCACGAGCGTCGCCGCGAGACCTGGACCGCGTCGCCGCCGAGATCCGCGCCGGGTCTGCATTCGAGCGTAGATACCCCCATCATCTTGAATATCATGAAGCCCAAGCCCCTGCCGTGCATGTTCTTCTACAAAACGGCCTGCCCCTTTCTCTGCCTGCTTGCCGGCCCAGCCTACCTCTGCGCCTCAGGTTGGTCCGAGGGCCTAAGCGGAAAGTGGCAAATAACTGCGGTTATGTGGATGCTCCAAACCTACGTGGGCCAAAGCTCATCGCTCGTTCGCCTAAAGCTCGTCGAGCTGCAGATGGGCATCGAACGAGGTCCAAATCGGCCACGACGTCGGGGCCTCCGAGTGCATGTGGTCGGAAGCCTGCCGCTGACATGAGAAATCATTCACCTCGGTTGTACTACGCAGTAATAGTGCACTGTCCCACACTCGGTACGAGGATGGTTCCTACAGTACCAGTACGCTTTAGGGCCAAATATTAGCCCCCGCCCGCTGGATGGCCGGCTTTGCTTTGCAGCCAGCCTCGCGCCTCGGGCAGGGTAGCCCGCCCGCCCGCCCGCCCCCAAGCCCCCGCGAGGTTTAATTTTCAAAAGCTGCCCTGCCCGAGCTGCCCGCTGCCTTGTGATGCGGGCCACCCACGTTCTAACTGCCCACTCGAGGACGTTTTTACTGCCAGTTTGCGCTTCTTACCGCCAGTCAAGTCTAGCCCCCTCCTACAACCCCCCCCCCCCCCCCCCCTTCCCCCCTTCCCATGTGTCATCTGGCACGTCATAACTTTGTCCCCATTCGCCTGTATTCAATGCGCAACGCCTTGGATCTTTGTCTTTCCTGCCCGGCCTCCGTCCTCTCCATTTCTTCCCCCCGCCCCTCCTTTGTGCTTTTGTTTCTGCCTCCCCCGCCCGCCCTTGGCCCGGCCCCGCCCCCACCCCACCCCAACCCAACCCTGCAGGCTGTTGCTCCTGCTCTCGCCGGCCTTTGCCATCCGTTTCCTTGCGCACGGAGGTTGGTGATCGACGGGGGCAACTGCGGATAAACGGGCTTTCCTTCCATCCTCGGTGTCACCTATGTAGCCTTTTGATCGAATAAGTTGCATCTGCCCTTTTCGGGGTTCTTCTCGCCAACATTTCTTTCATTTGTCCCTTCCTGCCTGTTCTTGTTCTTGCTCGAAATCGAGCACGCCTCGCAACATTGCTACAACGTTGTGCTTGGGATTTCTTCGTTCGTGATGAGGTAGGATCCGGACAGGATTCTCGCCTTCACATGAAAATGATTTTGTGGCTTCCTAGCTTTTTCTCGAGGTCCTTCCACAACTTCGAATCGGGGAAAGCATTTCTACATGCCTGCTCTACAGAAGATAAGTTAGCTATCGTCACTATTTGCACAAACACTTGAGGGATGTCGTCCCTTGCTGTGTTCCCTGTCTCGCCGAGGTTAAGGAGCGTGGGTTTGGTCCCTTGAACCATCTCTAATCATCTACATTCCGACATCGATCGGATCCATGCCATTGAATCAGTCACCTCTTTTCGCAACGTGTTTGATTCCTCCCTCCCAAATCGAGTCCAACTTTTCGCCGAACACAAGTGGCGCTTGCCGCGGATAGAGTCCGGTCAAACAAAGGCGGACGAGAAATTAGCTGCACCTCCCTCCGTCGATTATCCACATTTTTCCGAGAGCTGACCGCGAGGCTGGAGGCGACGGAATGTGTAAACCGATCCAACCGATCCATGTTTCGCATCCGTGCGCGGCTCGGAATAAAAAGCATCGAGTGTCTTTTGCCTTTCCATGTGAGACGTCTTTGTCTCCAGCTCTATCCTTGTTGTGAGCCTTTGGATATTTTCTCTTGGAAGTATCCAGTTCGCTCGCAAGTTGATGCTCCAGCGCACACATTATGACATGCACTCTACATGGTCAAGCGCTTTGGAGCGACAGTGGTTCCGGCAGGATTTCCAGGTACTGGCCCGGTGGGAAAGCAGTCCGAGTACCCTCTTCTCATCAAGCTATTAGAAGACCGTCTTCGACTATGGGAATGAAAAGTCTTGCACATCGACCTCTGAGTCTCCTCTTCAAAGATCCCGAATTCGTTCGTGAATAGAGGTAACGAATCTCTTATCAATTGCTGATCTTCTCGCCCCGCAAGTTTCGACTTCCTTCAGGTCCTTGGAAGCATATGTCTACAATGTGCTGTTCATGTTTGTAAAATAAGAGCCGGATTCTTGAAGTCAAGCGCAGTTGGCTTTGACCACAAGGATCTCATGTTTACGCCAAAAATAACTCTGCCCACAGTGTTTAATCTCTTGCATGTTAGGAATCCCACGATTTCTCAGGGATCAACGAGCAGATCCTTACAAAGTGCCAGCGGGAGGGAAAGTGCAAAAGTGAACCATCTGCCTTGCCCGCTGTCAAAGACTATTTCAAGGCAGGCAAAAGGAAACATTAACCATGGATCCATCACCACTTCCCACCAACTCGCTCGGCACTCCACATCCAAAGTTGCCGGCTTCTCTGCCGAAATTCAGATATACATCATGATATTGTCCTAAATTGTCTTGGGCTTACGAAACTCCACATATACCCCTTAAGACACCCCCGCCCTTCACAACTTTTGGCCCTAACCAAAGCATGTCTTCTCTAGTCGCAATCCATGTGACCATTCACTGACCTGAATTGCTCCCGATAGCTACAGAGCCTACTGCTGCTGCTGCTGCTGCTTTTTTTCCTGCCTCTACACGTGTACTCAAAGTCTACCAGTGTAGTTTCACTCGTACCTGGCGCAGCTCCACATCTCCTCTCTATTTGCCTCCATGCTCACTCCTCTATCGATACTTACTTAGCACACTGCTCTTCATGATCTCGCTCCCCATTCCCTGGTTTTCTGAACGAATTGCCATGTCTATGTGACGATGGCCGTCGAGCAACCCACCGAGGTGGACCCTTTCTATCTATCTATCTATCCGTCTATCCATCTTTCCATCTTTCCCAGCTCGGTTCACTCATGAGGTGGACCAAGCAATCTTAGTTTGTTGAATCACCTGATTCACCTCGAAAGAGATTTTGCAGCTTTGCCATACGCGCAGATCGTGAAGATGGGAGACACTACAACAGCACAAGTACACACAGTATTTTATATCATGAGTTAAGCGAGTGAGCAACTAAGGCTGGCTGGCTGGCTCCATCAGGGACTTCTGCAAGTGGGCTGGGTAGGTGAGCAGGGTCAATCCCATAGCTCACGACCCTAGCACAAGCCTTAGAAATGGACCCCTCCCTTGTACTCCACACTCCCTGGACAGCCTGATTAATCGAGCCATCGAAACTGGCCAACTTGATCCTCATTTTCATGAATATCCTAAGGGATGGGACATGTACATATTGAATAGTAAATTGGTTATTTGACGACTAGGTTTATATCTAAGGTGTCAAATTACAGTTCGTGATATATTTTGGACTTTGAGAGAGAGTTGTATAACATATACAAAAGAATGATGCGCTTTATGTATATAGTTTCAATCCAAGGATTTTATATGACATTACTGGATCGTATTTGAATAATATGCCATATGTAGATTTTGTTCATATTCTAGTGTTATATCTCATGTGAAAATTGATTTACTTGTAGATCCTTCAAACTCCTTCACCGACGTCTTTCAACAATATTCTTATTAAGTTTGACATCCTTGATAGAAGCATCACGAGACTTTACAGTATATTGTTGAACCAAGGAACTTCAAAGCTTTTTGTAAATAGAAGAAACTCCCATTCTAGCAGTTTTGGTTAGTTCTTTTTTTTCTATGCCTCTTTTTTTACTTGCCAATTTGTGATTGCATGTGAATCCATTCCTGAATGTATGCAAGGGCATTACAATCTCGATGATTTACTTAGCTAATTATATTATAATATATATTTTGGTATAAAATAATTATACCATCCAAAAGAAGTTCAATCAGTCAGGTAATGAAATGTAAAAAAAATGGAAATGAAATTCCATTTTTTTTCCTTAGCCCACCAATTGAATTAGAATTTCCATACATTATATTGAACCTTTAGTTTCAGAAATCTCTACATTCTCTGTTCGTTGATATTGCCATTGCTCGTATCCTAGTGTTCCTCTATGTTTCTTGCTCCTGCCTATTAACTATAGGGCTCGTACAGATTACTGTTCTCACATTCATGCATACTCTTGGATCCTAGTTTGACCATGTATTATGGTTTTATAAATCAAGTCCAATACTGTTTCAGAATTATCATGTTTGATTGATTTCTTCGTATTTTATTATTTGGATGCGAGCTAAACGTAATAGATAAATCTATGATCT